AGAAGCCACTCTGAGGGGACGTCCCCCTGGGATATTGCCTCAGGCTGTGTGAGGGAAGGTCCGCTCTGTGAGGTGTGAGGGGATGCTCCCCATGTGCCATGTCCCCCTGTGGTACCCCCCTGTGTAGGAGACACCCCGTGTGACGGGATGTTCTTCCTGGGACGTGGATGCCCCGAGCGACGGCACGTTTCTCTCGAGTGAGAGGAGATGGCCTCCCGGGTGATGCTCCGTGTGTGAGCAACAGCTGTGTGAAGGGCGCCCCGGGGGAGTGGCATCCCCACTCTGAGCTGGTGATGAGGGTGAGCGGGCCTTGGGGAGGCCTGGTCCCGACCTTGCCGCAAGACGCCACCCAGGGTGGGTGAGGAGGTGCCGTCCTCTGTGACGCGAGCGCCCTCGTCCCCCGGGGGTGGTGACGGCTGAGTGTGGACCCCACACAGTGCGGCCCAGCCGGCCACCCCCCCGTGCCCCCTCCGCCTCGCCCGTGGGAGGATCCTGCCCTGTGGGGTGAGCACACGTGTCCTTCCAGGGTCAGGGGTGTCCCTGACGCCACGTCCCTCCGCCCGTGCTCCAATTCCCCCGCTCACAGACATGGAGCAGGAGCTCCTGCTGTGGGCGCACATCCCCACCCGGGGACCTCCTGACACCCCTCAGCTGAGGAGCCTGCGGCCGGGGCGCAGCCAGCAGGGGTCGGAGGAGGGCGCTCCCAGGGCAGCGGGACAGGAGGCTGCCCCCGCGGGACGCCTGGATGCGGACGGTTGCCGTGGGGAACCGGGTCTGGGGCGCTGACGGTCCCTGTGCTGGCCCCGGGCCATGCCCCGTGGCGCCCCACAGTGTGTGCGTGGGCTCCCCTGCGGCCGCAGTGTCTGTTCCCGCGCGCCGGGCGCTAGTGTGCCGCGACCCACCCGCGTGTCCGCCCCGCCGCGGCCGTCGGTGGCGCGGTCTGTTGGGCCGGGTGCCCACCAAGCGCAGTAGCGGGCCGATTCTCAAGGCCCCTCAGGACGGGCGCTCGCGTCCCCACCCCCCCACCCCCGCGTGACTATGTGGCGGTTCTCGCCCCGTAGGAAAGATCACTCTGCGCGACCTGAAGAGGTGTAAGCTCGCCAACGTGTTCTTCGACACCTTCTTCAACATCGAGAAATACCTCGACCACGAGCAGAAGGAACAGGTCTCCCTGCTGAGGGTGAGTGTGGCCGGGGGCTCGGGGTGCCCGCCGCGGCTGCGCCGCGTGACGCGCGTGTCTCATGCAGGACAGTGAGAGCGAAGGCCCGGAGCTGTCCGACTGGGAGAAGTACGCCGCCGAGGAGTATGACATCCTGGTGGCCGAGGAGGCGGCGGCCGAGCCGTGGGAGGACGGGTGAGTGGGCACGGGTCGCAGGCGTGGCGGGAGGGCGGGGGTGGTACGCGGGCGGCACGTGGGCGGCGGTGCCTGCGACTCCCACAGCCTCGGCCACAGGCGGGACCCGGGGGCTGCTCACGCGCCTCCCGGCCGTGCATCCATAGGACAAGGCAGGGCGGGCACGTGGGCCCTGAACCCTGAGGGGAACCCGGGGCAGCCGCAGGAGGGCTTGTCCCCGGGGTCAGGGGCCAGGTGCTGAGCGCAGCCAGCACCCTGCACCCCAGCCGCGCCCGCCCCGGCGCCAGCCTCCACCCCTTTCCTGGACGCAGGCCCGGCAGTGCCACGCAGCTCTGCCCCGACAGTGACCTGTGGGCACCCACCAGGAGGCCTGGGTGATCCCTCCCCGGCCCCACAGCCGCCCTGCAGGGTGTGTGCGCCGTGCCGTGCCCCGCCCCGTGTCCTGCCCGGCCCCCTGCTCTCTTGACCCTTGGGTTGCCTGGAACTCTGGGGTCTGTCCGGCCACACACACGCGACGGCCTCTGGTCACACGCATGCTCCCCATTCCCATCAGGGGCCCTCACCCACCCACTGCAGGCACCCGAGGGCCCCCAGCACCGGATCAGGGTCATGCGGGGTCAGGCAAGTCTCCTGTGTGGTCGTGGGCAGCAGTGGAGCTTGTAGGGTGGGGGCCTCAAGTCCACGGGCTCCTGGTCTGCTGGGCCCGGGGGCGGGGTGCGCACGGGGCTGTCCTGGGGGGCCGACCCCAGCCCCGAGGGTCCCTGTGAGGCCGGGCATGCCCAGCCCCCCTCATCCCGCACCCCAGCTCCTGGCGGTGCTCGGTGCTGCTCCTCCGGCTCGTGCTTCCCCGACGCCGTGGCGTGCAGCCGGCCGCCCTCCCACGGGCCCTGCCAGCGCCGGGCATCGGTGGACACTCGGGGGCCGCACGGCCAGACGTTTGCCTGCCACCTCGTGGACCGGCCCTCCCGGGGGCCTCACGCTCCCAAGGGCCCCGCGGTGTCGCGGTTCTTGGCTTCCCCATTACGCGTGGGCGTCACTTTCATGGCAGCGTCGCCTCTGAGAGGCTTGTCCCGTTGATGCCGCGTGCTGCCCTCTCAGGCTGTGGCCCTGGTGTCCTCGTGTCAGACGCCGCATCGCCCAGAGCTGCAGGCCGCCGCGTGGGTGGCTCAGGGCCGTGGCCCTTCCTGCCGGCGTGGTTGTGGTGCACCTCCTCCGGTGGAGGGATCACGGGGACCGGGCGCGGGTTAGCAGGGACGTGCTGTGCGCCCCAGGCCCCCACGTCCCGAGGGCAGAGCAGCCGCTGTGCGGGTGTCTCCGCGGTGCCCTCCGGCCGAGGCGTCAGGGCGAGCCTGCCCGCCTTCTCCCTCACAGGCCTGCGGCCACGGGGTTTCGCGTGCACGCGCGTCGGGGGAGCCACTGGTGATTTCCCCGAACGGGCCCGCGGGCCGGGTGCAGGGTCTCTGGGGCCGTCAGAGCCTCGGCACCCCGACCCCGGCTGGTGGCCGTGGGGTGACCACGAGCCCGTGCTGGGCCTGTCCTCATCACCACTCCGGGGTTGCATGCTGCCGGCGTTCCTCGGTCACGGGCATCGGTGCATCGGCCGCACGGCAGATCCCTGTGCCCGTGTGATCCTCAAACTGCGCGTGGAGCGCCTCACTGGCTGCCTGCCGCGTGAGTGTGCCGAGCTGGCGGGCGTCCCCAGGACGCATCTCCACGTCCTGCGGCCTTGGCCGCTTCCGCCAGGTTTAGTGGCCTCCAGTGCGTGGCTCTGGGTGTCCTGTCCCCCCAGCGCTTCCTGATATTTGCTGCCGGCAGGGCAGTTAGTCGCGGCCTGCGGTGGGCGGCGGGCGGCCGAGTGGCCACGGGTGTGCTGGGCGTGGTGGCCACACGCAACCTCACGCGCCCGGCTCCGTGTGCTGCGTGCAGCCCTCCGTGTGCACGACGTGCTGCCCGTCCCTGTGGGCAGAAGTCGGCCCCGGTGACACGTCAGCGCGTTCCCACCTGGGGCTGGGTGCAAGTGCACCGCGCGACGCAGGGGACAGGGGCTGTGCCCCGGGGTGCTCAGGACCGCGTCCTTGCAGGTACGAACCCGAGCTCAGCCCCGTGGAGCAGAAGCTGAGCTCCCTGAGGTCTCCGCTGGCCCAGAGGCCCTTCTTCGAGGCGCCGTCCGCCCTGGGCGCCGTGGACCTGTACGAGTACGCGTGTGAGGACGACGACCTGCCGCCCTCGTGACGGCGCCTCCAGGACGGGCGGGCGCCTGCTGCGTGCACAGCGGCGTGTGTCCCATCGGGACTTCCATGGGACGTGATTTGTGCCGGACGACAGGTGGTTCTTTCTTCCTGGAAGCCGGTCAGGTGGCCGTCGAGCGTTGTCCCTGCCCGTCCAGGGGGCCCACGTCCATGCAAGGACCCCCGACGGGCAGGACACACGCGGCCCCCGCAGACTCACCGGCCCGGCCACGTCCGTCCACGTGGAGGGCAGCCCGGCCCCGCGCCTGGAGCTCGCCCGCCGCGTGCTGACCTGTGGGTGTGGGGCGGCCCCGTGTTCTCACGAGGTGGGTCCGGAACATTCCAGGAGGTGTCCGTCCACAGCAGTGTCTGGGGCGCTGCCCCAGCCACCGCCCTCCACGCGGGGCCTGCCAGGGAGCACCCCTCGCGTGTACTCACATGTTTGTGTACATGTACAAAACGTGTAAAGTCAACTTTTATTTGGTGTGTATAGCGGTTTAAAAATGTTTTACGAGATCACGTTTGTATTTTCAAATAAAGAGTTTAAGGACTTTGTGACGGGCTCGGCTTGCCCGGCCCTCGACGCGGACACGGCACACACAGGTCACACAGCAGGCGGCGGCGCTGCTGGGGCGGACGGCAGTGTCAGCACGGGAGACCCCGTCCACGCCGCAGCCCCGGCCCTGCGGCCCGCCGTGCCCTCAGGGAGGCCCTCCCCACAACCCCTAGCGGTCCCGCCTCCACCAGGGGCCACGCTCGCCCACAGCGGCTCCCGAGGCCCAGCGGGCACAGGGACGCGTACCACGGGCACACGTGTTTGCCTCCGCCCCCGGCGGGGTCCTCCCCGCACACCGACCTCTCCCTCCCCGTGCACACGGGCACGTCGTTCTCCCTCCCTGTGCACACGGGCACGTCATCCTCCCCACGGCAGGGGCTCGGGTATGGCATTGACACGGGGTCTACACGGCGGGGTGCCCGCCCCCCACCTGTCGGGGGAGGGTGTCCTGCGAGCGTCCAGACTGCGCCTGGTCAGGAACCGAGGGAGCGGCCCCTCCCACCCCGGCCCTGCCGCTGGCCCCCAGCGCCGGACGCCCCTATGCACCCAACGGGGGCCCAGCTGTGAGGAGCAGCAGAGCCGCAGCTTGGAGGCCAGCACCGTGCTCAGGGCAGCGCCAAGCTGGTTCTGGAACCTTCCAGGCGCGCGCAGCAATAGCCAGCGAGGACGTTGCAGGCAGGTAGGCACCTGGTGGGCAGGGGGGCGGGTGCGCGGGCACCATGGGGGGCCCCAGGCCGCGGCCACGGGGTTGCTCCCCACACACGGGTTCGCATGTGCAGCTGCGGACATCAGAGGTCACCGGCCTCCCCTGAAGACCACAGGGCCCCGGTCGGCTGTCCCTGGAGGCCGCTGGCTCCCGGTCCCCAGGACCAGGTGGCTGTGGTTGACACGAGGCGGCGGCCGACGGAGAACTCGCGACCCCCGATGTGAGGAGTCCCACCGGGGCCTGCATCCTCTTCAGTCCAACGCCCCCTGGGGACGCAGAGGACAGCCCTCAGGACCGGACAGGGACGGACAGGTGGAGGACCGTGCTGGAGGACCGAGCGCTCCGGCCCAGGCCTGTTCCTAGTTGGCGGGGGCCGGGGACCTCCACCTGCCAGGGCCCTGGAGCGCCAGAGCAAGGCTTGGGGTGCGGCCTCCCCTGCACCCTGACCCCCAGGACCCCCAGGCCTGGCACACTGAACCCCCTGATACTCCCGCGGCCCCCTGGGTTGGGTCACTGACCCCCTCCTGCACCCCCGCGTCCAAGGGCCCCCAGGGCCAACACACAAACCACCCCCCACAGCCCCAGGAGCCTCCGTACCAGTCTCAGAGCCACCCAGACCCACGGCTCTTGGAGGCGTGACTAGAGGGCAGCCAGGCAGGAGGCAGCAGACATGCCGAGGACCCCAGGGCACCCCAAGCCCAGTGTCTGAAGCCCAGCAGGCCAGGGCACGGGGACCACCCCTTGCCAGCCTGCGGCCCCTAGGACCCTGCGTGGGCCTGGAGCACACACTGGGTCGGCTCAGGGCCTGGCCCCCCCATCCCCCCACCCGGGAGCCTCAGATCGTCCATGCGGCAGACACCTGGTGAGCCCTCCGACCAGAACCCAAGTCCCCTGCGAACGTGTGCAGGGACCTGCTCCCACCCACCCTGGGCGCGGAGGCCACAGTGTCACCCAGGACCCCAGGTGGGACGTCCCTCTGAGCACCCTGGGTGGCCGCGTGGGGCGCGGACGTGGGGCTGCCTCTCCTGCCTGCGCCCCACGCGGCCACCGCCCAGGGGCCCAGCGGCACCAACCTCCTGGACAGAGATGCCCTCCACGTCCACGTCCTCGTTGGAGGAGTTCTCAGAGTCCTCGGATGACAGGAAGTCCACATCAAAGATGTCCCTGCCAGAGACCAGGGGTGGCCCGTTTCCAGGGAGACCAAGGCAGTGCCCCAGGGGACTGTGCCGTGGACGGACGTGTGTGGATGGCCGCGGGAAGGCCGGACAGGGAGACACGTGGACAAGGCACGGTCCCCAGGACGTGGGCCCCCGCGGCAGCTCTAACCCGGTCACGTCCCAGTGTTGGTGGCGCTACAGGCAGCGTGGACGGTGCTGTGCAGCAGGGGGACGCGGGAGGAGCAGCGTGCACCCCTGCCTCCCGCCCCTGACAGCCCCGTCCCTGCTGCACACCCGGGCGGGCCCCCGTCGGGCCAGCGTCCCGTTGCAGCCGTCCCCAGGCCCTGCTCTGGGACACTCTGCCCGGCAGCCCCGCTCCACCCTGACGCAGGGCCGCGGCGGCCTCACCTCTTGGGCTTCCGCTCCTTGGAGGAGCAGCTTCTCGGCTCCCGGTCCCCCGCGGCGCAGCCGGCCAGTGTGTCCGGCGTCCAGGTGGAGCACGTCCCCGCGGGCAGCTCTGCGGGCCGGGAGCCGTCAGACCGGGCCCCGCGGCCACCCCTCCCCGCCCGGGCCACCCTCCCCACACCTTGGGGCCGCTTGCTGTCCTTGCATATGGCGTCGAACGGGTTGGCGGCGGGCTCCTCCTCCCCCTGCGCCACGTAGTCCGTGCGCATCAGGGACTTGCGGTAGGCGAGCATGGGGTTCATGTCCCCCTCCCCAAACACGGGCACGCCCTCAGGGATGGAGTCCTGGAAGTGGGCGAGTCTGCGGGCAACGGGGCGCGGTGGGGGCGTCAGGGGACACGCCCCCGGGCACCCCGCGGTCCGTCCCCTGCTGGGCTAAGGGCCCCGGAGCCCCGCGGGAGAAGCGCCCCCTGCGGCGCAGGGCGATCCTGCAGCACAGACCCCAGCAGCGCAGGCTCAGCCCGCCGGAGGGAGCGGCCACCCTCAGCCCGGGTCATGCCCACCCGAGAACCTCCCATTCCCACGCCCCTCTGGGGCCTGCACACTCACGCGGCCGCGCGCTCCGCGGGCGGGATCTTGCACGAGAACTCGGCCAGCACGAGCAGGAAGCTGAGGTTGGGGAAGCGCTGGCGGGCCTCCTCCTCGGGTACCGGGGACTCGGAGAAGGCGAACGCCAGCCCGCGCCTGGGGACCGGTCCCGCGGGAGGTGGGCCGGAGGGCGGAGGCACAGACGGGAGGCAGTGGGGCATCAGGTGGGGCTCCCACGGGACGGGTGGGGTCAGGTGAGGCTTGGGGGGAGGGCGGGTATTAGACGGGGCACAGCACCAGGTGGCGCTCATTGGGGCAGGGTGGCTGGTGGGGGTCACTCTGGGGACACGGGTCGGCGGGGTCACTGCAGACAATGATCAGGTAGGGTCACAATGGGGACAGGGGTCAGCGGGGTCACGCCAGGGACTGGGGTCCGGTGGGGCTGGGACACGGATCGGATGGGGACAGGAATCGGGTGGGGGGTCACACTGGGGACAGGGTTAGGCGGGGTCACATCCGGGAAAGGGGCTGGGCAGGGGTCAGACCTGGGACAGGAGTCGGGCAGGGTCATAATGAGGCCGGCGGTCAGGCGGGGGTCACAAGGGGGCAGGATGGGACACCCAGGAGCACAGCAGCAGGTGACGCGGGCCGGGGCGTGGGTCGGGCAGGTCAGGGCCGCTCCCGGCATGCACCTGTGGATCAGGTGGGCGGCGTCGCGGGCAGAGTCGAAGCCGAGCGTGAGCGCGAAGCGGCGGGCCAGCAGGCGGATGGAGTAGAAGGGGCCGCAGATGAACTCGATGGGGTCGGAGCCGAGGCCGTACGTGTCCACGTGCTTCTGGAACAGCTGCGGGAGCACAGGGCCGTGGGGCAGGGGTGCGGGCGACCCCGCGGCCCTGGCACCTGGCGGTGGCCCTGCACGAGCTCAGCTGCAGGGGGTGCCGCACCCGGAGTGGGGGGGCGCCGTGTGCGTGGGCGCGCAGCCGCGCCTCGTCAGCGCTACAAGGAGGCACAGCGTGGCCTTGTGGTCGCCAGAGTGGGGCGCAGAGCGCGAAGCCGGCACAGGAGCCGGGGGCTTGTGGCCTGACTGTGCCCCCCGCCCCGGGCAGGGACGTTCAACAACACCCGGAGAAACAAGCGTCTCTTGCGCCCCCCTCTGCGCCCCTCCGCCCAGGGCCGAGGCAGCGGGCCCAAGGCTGTCTGCAGGGGACCCTGCAGGGGCTGGGGGGGACGAGCACGGCGGTACATACCGCTACCCACGGCGGGATCCGCGGATCCCCAGGCCGCGGGTGACACCTGCCCCGCCCTCCCCGGTGACCACAGGCTCCACAGGAAACCAGCGAAAACCAGCAAGATGTGGCGGGGGCGTCCGTGGTGGGGACGTGGTGCCGACGTTGCACGCTTGCCCTGGGGAAGCTCCGCATCACTGTTGAGTGTCGGGGGTGTGCACGGTGAGGTGAGTGGGTGTCGCGGGTGTGCACAGCCCTCGGCAATCGGGAAACAGAAGCCGCGTTCCGGAACCCGCGGGGCAGAGCCCGTGCGCCAAGTGCCCAGGGAGGGGCCTGCCCCCCACGCCCACAGGCAGCACCAGGGCCAGGACCGCGGGGGCAGCAAATGCCCCCCGGCCCTGCCAAAGACGCGTGGAGACTCAGCCCCGGGGGGAGAGGCGGGACCCACGTCCTTCCAGAAACCTCGCACGTCGGCGGCCCCACGTGGGTGCACAGAGCCAGAACCAGGAGAAGGGGCGGCCGCGCGGTCTTCTGAGACCCCAATGCCACGGACGTCCACGCGGCCCACGCTCGAGACCCTCCCCACGCGTCTGAGTCGCCCCTGGTGATGAGAGGCAGACACCCCCGGGTGCGAAGCAGGACACCAAGCCCGAGTCCCGGTGGAGGGGGTGCGCACGGCTGGGCCGCGAGGAGCAGCGGTGCCGTGGCGGGGTGTCCCCACGATGCGGCCCACGCCGGGGCGCCGGGAGACGCTCACCTGCTGCAGGCACAGGAGCAGGGACAGCGCGTTGCGCAGCCTGTCGTTCTGTCTCGTCCTCGTCATGGTCTCCTTGATGATGTCGCCGAAGTGATGGTAGTGCTGTGAGCCACACGGAAGCCGTCAGCACCGCCCCGCCTGCGCGCCCACGCTCTCCTCACCGTGTTCCACGGGACACGCTCAGGGCGGCCACGCACCTCGGACCCCGGGCTCCCCGGGGCCTCCTGGACGGGGACCCCACGGTGCGCTCAGCACCACCTGGGAGGGGGCGCGCCCCACACAACCTGGGGCGCTGGTCCTTGCAGCCCCTGCGTGCCGTGAGCCTCAGGCCCACGCGGGGTGAAGATGGGGAAAGAGAAACAGCGTGGCACACGCCAAACTCGGAGTCAAAGAGGGATCGAGACCGGATTTCCCACAAATGACCCCGAACAAGGGGTTCGCGTCTCTGTCGTACAGAACACCTAAAGGAGGTCCCGACGGAGCGGCTTCTGGGACGGGAGGTGCGGTGACTGTCCACCGCGGCCGTCCTCCGTGCATGCACCCACGCGGGTACCCGCCACTCCTCCACCCGCCCGGTCGTCCGTCTGTCCACGCAGCCATCCATGTGCCCACCGACTCATCCACCTGTCACAGCCTCCCCTGCCCATCCGTCCGTCTACGCAGCCACCCGAGCGTCGTCCACCCACTTAGCCGCCGACTCCTCCGCCAGCACCTCCCCTCGCGTCTGGGCGTCACGCGTTCCTCCACGCGGTCGTCAGAACCACTGCCCCCGCCGATCCGGCACGGACAGTGGTGCCTCGGCTCAGCCCGGCCCTCGCTACGCTCACGCTCACTCTCGGGGAGGAAAGTGCCAACAGCGGTGCTTCCGTGAACCACCCGGCACAGCTTGAAAACCCAGGACACGACGCCCCAAGTGAAAACCCGCCCCAGGGCCCAGCTGTGGGAAGAGGCGCTCGTGACACCAACAGGGACGCCGTCCACACGCACACGTGGGCTCCTCCGGGGGAGGACCCGGGTCCCAACGGGGAGTCCGGGAGTCCGTGGGTACTTTGCACGCCCGGCGTCGCCGCCAGGTCTGGGCAGCGGCGCACGCACCTTCAGGTAGAACTGGTACACGGCGGCGGCCGCGCTCATCTCCAGCACGTTGCACACGATGAGCTTGCAGAACACGGCCAGCATGTTCCTCCTGTGGAACAGCTCGTGCAGCTCGTCCGCGTCCTCCTCCCTGTACACTCGGCGGCCACCTGGGGACACAGCCCGCGCCCTGCCTTCCACCGCCCCTGTCGCGGCCCAGCGTGTGCGGGCGGGGCGGGGGGCCCGCATCCTGTCCGGGGACAGGAGCCGGGACAGCAAGGGGGCAGGGCCACCAGAGCACACCCCAACCCCAGGGTGCAGGCGCAGACCAGACCAGGAGGGCCGTGGGGCCCTGCATGTCCGGGTCCTGACCGCCTGCCTGGACAGGCCCCACGCGCCCCCTCACGGCGCGAACCACAGCGACACACGCCCGGGGATGCAGCTCCAGAACCCAGGGGGCACAGCACCCCAAGGCCCATCCAGGCTCCCCAGGGCCCTCCTGCCCTGTGCCCTCCGGCTGCCCCCAGCTCTCTCCCCTCCTGACCCCTGCCTGTCCCACCTCTCCCCCCCCAGAGGTCCCCCCACCTGCCCCCCGGCCCTCTCCTGCCCTCCTGCCCCTGGCTCTCTCCCAGCTCCCCCCCAGGCCCCCTCCTGCCCCAGGCTGCCCTGGCTCCCTCCAGGTCCCCCCAGCCCCGAGGCCCCCCACGGCTCCCCCAGGTCCCTGGAGGCTGACCTGCGGCTCCCGCGTCCTCCAAGAACACGTGCTCCCTGACGAAAGTGAGCAGCTTGCACTGCAGGACGTGATCAGGGACGAAGAACAGCAGCCCCAGGCCTGTGTCCTCCTCGGGGCCCTGGTGGCTCAGGATGAGCAGCAGGTCACACAGCAGGATGAAGGCCTGAGGGGGCGGGGGGTGAGGGGGCGCCCAGGGACAGGACCCCACCCCCACAGGGACCTATCTCGTGCGCCACCCACACAGAGCTCCCAGGGCATTCAGCACCCAGCGCCCTCACCTGAACCCCACCCCGCAGGCACAACAGGCCCAAGTGTGAAGGTACGGATGGGACCAGCACGCGAGACGTTTGGGGACGTCAGACGGGCCGTCACATGCCGGCGCTCAAGGGTGACAGAACGATGGGACACGCAGGCGGGACGTGCACACGCTGCACACATGCAACACGCAGTTGGGACACAACACATGGGCAGGACACACGCTGCACATGCAACATGTGGTCAGGACATGCACACGCAACACGTGGCAGGACACACTGCACATGCAACACGTGGTCAGGACACATGCAACATGCGGTTGGGACATGCACACAACACGGTCAGGACACGCTGTACATGCAACACGTGGTCAGGACACATACAACATGCGGTTGGGACACGCTGTACATGCAACACGTGGTCAGGACACATGCAACACGCGGTTGGGACACGCACACAACACACGGGCAGGACACATTGCACACACAACACGGTCAGGACACGCTGTACATGCAACAGGCTGTCAGGACACACACAACACACAGTCGGGACACACACATGCACAACACGCGGGCAGGACACGCTACACATGCAACACGCGGTCGGCAAACGCACATGCACAACACGCAGGTGGGCACCCACACCCCGCACATGGACGACACACGTGCGGGTCACACACCCTGTAACGTAACCCCTGTCCACCAGAAACCCAGCACGCGGCCGCAGCACGTGCCGCCGACGGACACCCGAGGCCCACACCCCACACACGGACAGCGATCGGAAACGTCCCCAGCAACCGGGCAGGAAAGGCGGGCCGAGGCCACCACCGAGCCCCACGGACAGGGCGGCCGTGACACACCTGGAGCACGGGGCGCGCGGGGTCATAGGACAGGGCAATGGCTGCCGAGGGACACATGCCCCCCACCCCCATAGTGAACGGCCGCGCACGAGACACGCTTTATCCACAGCAGGACAGTCTCCCGAGTGGACGCCAGGAGCCCGGACCCGCATCGCCGAGCCTTCACCCCGGCTCCCCCGCTCGTGCCCCCACAGACTCCGTGCGCCAGAGCCACCAGAGGCACCTCTGTCCACGCCCGGGGCACCCGCAGGCCACCGCCTCGCAGCAGGCTCCGGGCAGCTGGTGCGGCCTGTCCCCACATCCGGCCCCCACGGTCCCCCGCGGCACACCCACCTTCTCGCTCAGCACCTTGCTCTGGTGGCTCAGGTACACGCGGCAGGCCAGGCAGAACTTGAGCAGCCGCTTCCTCAGGTCCAGGAGCGCCTCCTGGGGGCGGGGGCGGGGCCTCCATAAGCAGGCACCCAGCCCCGACCCCCACGCCCCTCCCATCCCATACCTCCTTTCCCCATCTGCCTCCCCGCCCTCACCCCACACCCCCCGCCACTCCCCCCACCGCCACCGCCCCTCCCCGTCACCCCCCCTCCACCGCCCCATTCTCTCCCCACTGCCCTGTGCTGCTCAGGACTGCCTGAGGCCTGTGCACCCCCAGGGAAGCACGGACATACCCCGGAACCTGTCTGGCTCCCCACACGGGCACTGGCCAGCACCAGGGACTGAGGTCTCCGCCCACAGACACCCCTGCTTCGTGGGGCAGGTGCACAGGGCGCTCGGGCCGTGGCCTCAGGCGGGCGCTCATGTCACAGCCGCGGAGCCCCGCCAGCCCGGGACGACGGATGACAGGGCCTGTGCCTGCACCCACCCCCCACAAGCTCCCTCCCACCGCGCACGGCTGCACAGGCCCCACCCTGTCCACGCCTGCACCCACCTGGGACGGCAGCCGGTCCGTGGCCGCCACGATCTGCCACAAGAGCGCGTAGTAGGTGCACTGCAGCGCGCAGTGGACGACCTGAGGGGCGCGGGCCGTCAGCCGGGAGCACCGTGCAGGGACCCCGAGCTGGCCGACGCCCCCCCGCACACTGCGCCCGCCCGCCCCGCTCACCTCCGTGGGCAGGCTGCCCTGGTGTCTGCGGAACGTCAGCAGGCTGTCCATCTTTTCGTACAGGTTCCAGCCGCTCAGGTCGTGTGTGCTGCGCACGAGGCCCACGAGGCGTCTCAGCACCCGCCTCGGCCCCGGGGTGAGCCGCTGAGGGCGGTCGGTCAGCGGCCTGGGGCTGAGGGACCGCCCGCGGGGACGCTGGGGGCACCCTCCCCACACGGCGGGCGGGGGCTCTGTCCACTACGGTGTCCAGCCCCGTGGGTGAGGCAGCCCCAGCTCCCGGGACTTGGCTCAGCCCCAGGCACACCCATGGACACCCGGCAGCACTGTCCCCACCCCACCCCCGCTCGCAGTCAGGCAACAGCCCGAGGGCAGGGGCGCGCGCCCCTCACCTGTAGAAGGCAGCCAGCCTCCGCAGCGTGGAGCAGATGCGCCCCATCTCCCCGTGTCCCAGGAACAGGCCTTGTTTCTGCAGGGCAGGGAGAGCACGCGGGGTGGGGCGGACCTCACACGGCCCAGGCGGCTTCCCTGGGCCCGCGCTCCCCCCCCCGCTGTCTGTCCCCCACTTCGGAAGGCAGCGCTGGACACTCCCAAAAAGGGAAATTGTGTCACAGCCCATCCCGCGTCCAGCTCGCCGGGAGACACGGGAGACCAGAGGCCACCCCAGAGAAGGGGAGGCTGCTGGCAAGCAAGGCCGGACGATCTGGGATGGGCCAGCTCCCTGCACCCGTCTCACGCCCCGTGAAGAACCCGCCACGCGGGACACGTTCCTCGCTCCGCAGCTGGGAGAACAGGCGCAGAAGCGCTCGCGGCCCCCTAGCACCCCAGGATCAGGGAGGCCCCGGGCTGCGGAACTCAGAGCAACGTGAACTCCTTATGCGGTAACGGGCCGAGTCCAGGCCACACCCCTGGCCCACAGCTCACGCGGCCCTCCGCCGCCTGCGTGGAAGTTCCACCGGAACGCGGCCCAGTGACGCCAGGCACAGGACGGCCCAGCAGCGCACAGTCACGCCGCAGCTCCTTACACACCAGTGCCTGGTGGACGCAGGCCAGGGCCTCCGACAGGCTGTGCTCTGGGGGCTTACAGGGCTCCCGCGGGGAGAAACAGGCCACTCTGTCACCCCCAGCCGAGCGTACACGCTGCCAGCAGATCGGGTGCAGCACCAGCAGTCGGGGCTCAAAGGGGAACCCACCCTGCATCCCCAGGGTCACACTGGCGAGGTCACGGAGCTGACCCCTGACAGGTGCACGCTCTATAACACTTCAACAAGAGAGCACGGAGCCTCAGTACCCTCATTCAGCACGGGGTCCCCACCTCCACGCATTTCCCCAAGCCCCCGCCTACACCCCAACATCCGCACCACCACATCACGGCCCACACGGAGCCCCCAAAGCCCCCGCAGCCCGCACCTCGTGTTGGATGAACACGTCCAGCAGCGGGGTCAGCACGTCCACCAGCATGTCAACCAGCCGGCTGCAGGCGGGGGCAGCCTGGCCGTGGGCAGAGCCGCCCTCGTCACAGTAGGTGCCGTAGGCGCGGGCACAGGCCTCCAGCACCGCCACGTCCGAGTGCCGCTGCACCAGGCAGTCCAGCTCGAGGAGCGCCGCGTCCAGGTACTGGGGGGCGGGGGAGCAACGGCTGGTCAGGGGACTGGAGGGGGGTCGAGAGGGCCACTCAGGGGCTCAGGAGATTGAGGCCGAACGTGCCAGCGAAAGATCAGGAGATTAGGTAGGAAGCCATCGGGTCATGGGTTGAGATGAAAGGTCATGGGGTCAAGGACAAAAGGTCAGCAGTCAAATGGGGAGCTGTCAGGGGTCACAGGGTTGAGAGATGAGGGGTGGGGTGGAAAATCACAGGGTTGAGCAATCAGGGGCTAGAAGAAAAGGGCCAGGTGGGGCCCAGGGCAGGGAGTATGTGGGCAAGAGAGGATGCTCATAGGAGCTGCAAACAGGAGTCAGGACCCTGCCACTGGGTGGGAGACGGCTGACCCCTGCAGGGTGGACAGGGAGGAGGAAAGGAGCCCCCACACCTGACACCCCAGGGAGGGGGATGCAGCCCCCTTGTCTAAACGCACAGAAGCAGGTGTGGCCCTAGTGGAGAGGGTGAGGACCCGGAGGGGTAGGGGTGTGGCCCCAGGGAAGGGGGCGTGACCCAGGGGAAGGGTAGGGCTCTAGGGAAGAGGTCTTGGCCCCAGGGGACACAGGCACGGACTCAAAGAGGTGTGGCCGCAGTGAGTGGGTGTGGCTCTAGGGAGTGGGCGTGGCCCCAGGAAAGGGGTGTGGCCCGGAGGAGGGCTGCGGGGGGAGGGGCGTGACCTAGAGGATTAGGGGCGTGGCCAGGAGGGCAGCTGTGGCTCTAGGAAAGGGGCGTGGCCTGGAGGCATAGGGGCGTGGCGAGGAGGGCAGCTGGGCTCTAGGAAAGGAGGCGTGGCCGCGGTTGGTGGGCGTGCCCCCAAGAAAAGGGGGTGGAGCAGAGGAGGGCTGGTGGAAGGGGCGTGGTTTCGTGGACTAGGGGCGTGGCCAGGGGCAGCTGTGGCTCTAAGCAAGGGGCATGGCTTGGTGAGTGGGCGTGGTTTAGAGGAGTGGGGGCGTGGCCTGGGCGGCTGTGGCTCAGGAAAGGAGGCGTGGCCGCGGTGAGTGGGCGTGGCTCTAGGAACGCGGGCGTAGCCCCAACGAGAGGGTGTGGCCCAGAGGAGGGCTGTGGCTCTAGGGAAGTGGGCGTGGCCCCAGGAAAGGGGTGTGGCCCAGGAGGGCTGCGGGGGGAGGCGGCGTGGCCTAGAGGAGTCGGGGCGTGGCCAGGAGGGCAAGAGTGGCTCTAGGCAAGGAGCGTGACTGGTGAGTGGGCGTGGCTTAGGGGAGTGGGGGCGTGGCCAGGAGGGCAGCTGGGGCTCTAGGAGAGGAGGCGTGGCCGCGGCTGGTGGGCGTGTCCCAGAGGAGTGCTGTGGCTCTAAAGGGGCGTGGCCCGGAGGTGAGTGGGCGTGGCCCAGAAGGGGCGCTGCTGCTCTGGGGGAAGGGGCGTAGCCCGGAGAGGAGGAGGAGGACCCGCTCCCCCCCACCCCCGCGAGGCCGTCCCCCTGGGAGGCGCCCGGAACCGGGCACTCACGGAGCCCAGGCCGTCCATGTCGTACACGTCCAGGTTGCAGTACTGAGGGATCTGCAGGAGGGGGGTCACCTTCTCTTTGTCCGCTGCAAACTGCCCAGAGAGCAGGCGTGACGCGGAGCCTCCCCAGCGCCCTCCTGCAGCCTCCGGACCTGCCCTGGAGCCCCCCAGCGCCCGCTCCCGGCCTCGGGCCCTTCCCCACTCGGCACCTTGGACAGCAGCCGGGGCAGCACCTTGACAAAGTGTCGGCTCATGTTGGCATGCTCGCGCCAGCGGCGGGTCCCGTCCACCTCCCTGGCACCCTGCAGGCAGAGCATGCATGGCCTGAGCCCACGGCCCACACGAGTCCCGCAGTGGCCCGGGGACCTGCTCCCACGTGACCAGGTCACACGCGGGCGGCGCTGCCCGGAAACCGAGAACAGAGCTCCGGATTGCCTCTGGTGTTGGCTTTCCAGGAAAGCGTTTCCCTTGCAGGGAAGCCATCAGGACTGAGTTGTCTCCCGCAAGTTCACACCTCGCGGTGACCCTAACGCCGCAGGGTTGGTGTCATAAGAATGAGAGAGGAGGGCACAGAGCCGGACACGTGCACAAGGGAGAATGCGACAGCCACGTGAGGACGGAGGCAGAGACGCGGCCACAGCCTGAGAATTCCAGGAGGTGAAACAGGCCGGAAGGATCCTTCCCTGCAGCCCCGGAAGGACCCCGCCTGCATCTCGGTGGTCCTGCCCGCCCGGGCTCAGACGTCTGGTCTCTAGGACTGCGGTGAGCGCTTAATTCCCATGGCTTTATGTCCCCCGGGACACCAGAGGCTCACACGGAGGCAATTCAGAGGCTGGCCGACACACTGCCGTGTCCGGTGTGAACACGGCGGGGGGGGGACTGCGCAGGGCCCGCCCCAGGGAGGCAGGCGGCAGACACGGACCAGCTGTCACACGGCCTGGCAGCCAGCAGGAGGGGTGCGCGGAAGCCGCGGGCACCTCCAGCAGCACCTACCTGGGCGGCCGGGAGCCCCGCCCGCAGCGCCAGCGGCCAGGTGAGCAGCCAGGGTGGCAAGCGCAAGGCTGAAGCGGCAGCAAGCGGTCCCCGGCCCCGGGCAGGGCGCGGCAGGGCTGAGGCAGGCGCGGGCACCCACAGCGCCCCCGCGCGCAGGGCTCCCAGCAGCGGCACAGCAGCCACAGCGCAGCGGTCAGCACAGGGGAGGAAGCGCATCCAGGCAGGGGGCAGGGGTGGCACTGACTTTCTTGCCCAGGCGGCGGCCAGCGGGAGGGCGGCCCTCGGCAGCCTGTCTCACGGCGGCCACGAGGATCTCGATGAGCACTCTTTCCTGCTGGCTCGTCAGCGCTGCGGGGACAGGGAGACGGGGGCAGGTCAGCCCACGCCGACCTTCACCGGGTCACGGAAGCTTCTGGATTGATGCACTGCTGAGAGGCCTGGCTGGGCCTGGCCCGGGCTCGGAGCACGTGCGGAGCGGAGGCTCCTGGGCACAGCAGGCCCCGACCCGGCTCACGCACTCAGCGGTGTACAGAACCAGGGCCAGCCCTTTCCTCTAAGTGTGCACACAGCCCCGGGCCGCGTGCTCACGGCAACCCGACGCCACCTCTAGCGGCAGGCGGCGGCCCACCCGGCACCGTCCCGTACCCTGGGACTCAGGTCTAAAGCCACGCACTTGAGGGGACACTGTGTTCACCGGCTGCTCCACAGGGACTTTCACCCCCCGAGGTCACAGCCACCCAGAACCTCAGAACAGGAGCTTGTGGGGAAACTGGATCTTTCCAGGTGTGACTAAGTGAGGCTCTGAGCTGAGCTCGTCCTGGACCAGGTGGCCCTGCGTCCAGCAACAGGGGTCCTTGTAAGAGACAGGAGGAGCCACAGATGCACAGGAGGAGCCCCGTGAGGATGGAGGACACGGGAGGGATGGGCCACCAGCCCGGGGAGGCCTGGGCCCCAGACGCTGGAAGAGGCGGGAGGGACCCTCCCCAGAGGCCCCGCCCTGGACCTCAGGGGTCCAGCCCCCGGACCTCAGACTCTGGTCTCCAGAGCTGGGAGGGGACGGATTCTTGTTTTAAGCCCCCAGGTTTGAGGTCATTTGTCACAGGCACCGCGAGAACCTCACACCCGGGTCCTCCTGTCCAGTGTCCCACATCCTGGGATCGGTGCCACTATGAGCCTGGGGGCAGCAAAGGCCCACGCTCAGGGTCAAAAAGCTCAGAGACCCCGCGGCGGGGCCTGAAAACTTGAGTCAGAGTAGAGGAGGTGCCCCGGTGATGAAGGAACGGGCCCCTCCGTGCCCCCCGGGAGCGTGGTGGAGGCTGCTGGCCCCGCCAGGAAGGGGACAGGCCTGGAGGCCTCAGGCATGGCTCAGGGACTCCAGGTTTTAGCAGAGGACACTTGTCTTCAGCAGGGCTGGGGTGGGGGGTCTCAGAGGGCAGGGCCTCGGGTGGGGCTGTGGGCCGGGGTCGGAGGAGGGGCAGTCTCCTTGGGGCGGTGCCCGGGGGGAGGGGACGGGGTGGTCTCAGAGGGGCGAGCCTGCCAGGGCTCATTCACCAGGCAGCTGCCCACACTGCATCCTGACCGTGGGGCCCAGGCTTTGATCCCCTTGCAGGAGAGCAGCCGCAGCCACTGTCCTGCGGACCCCAACTAGAGACTGGGGAGCCCCCCATCAAGGCCTGAGGACCCTTCGCCCCAGGGGAGCACGGCATGTGCCCCTCCCCCCGACCAACCAGTCAGGGAGCAAACACTGCACAGCAGTGTGGACAGGGCAGCTAGAGCCCCATGCCGCCCGCTCGTATCAGTGACACCGTGGACAGACGCTTGGCAGGACGGCGGGGGACCGCAGAGATGACGCGACATGGGAGGAGGGGCATGGCGGGACACAGGCGGACAAGGACACGAAACACGAGGTGGGGGCGGGACACAAGGGGGACTGGAGCACATGGGGACACTGGGACACGAGGGTGATGGGGATGGCAGGACACAGGGACATGGGGGAACGGCAGGACGCAGGGACACAACAGGACATGGGGGGACAGTGGGACGTGGGGAGGATAGCACGGCCCGGGGAGGACGGCAGGACAGGGAAGGATGGCAGGACACGGCAGGGACGGTGGGCCTAGGGGGACGGCAGGGCGGCCAGCAGGATCACGGGCCCGGCCCACGACTCCGAGCAGGCTCTGGCCACGCTCACCTTGGCGCCCGCCGCGTGGCTCCAGCAGCAGGGCCGTCATGCACTCCCAGTTGCGCACCAGGGCGGGCGCTGCCTCCCACAGGCCGTCCACCAGGTACGGGACGTGTCTGTGGAACTGACAGGGATGTGCCCGACGTGTGAGGTCGTGACAACGGGACAGCGGGACAAGTGAGGGGACGACACGCGATGACGACACGGGGCACGGAGGTCATGTGAGGGTGGCACAGGGCAGGGAGGACACGCAACGACGCAGAGACGAGAACACACGATGACGACGTGGGCAGGAAGCTCATGTCGAGAACACACGATGACGACGTGGGCAGGAAGCTCATGTGGCGGCAACACGAGGCCGGGAGGAGACGTGATGATGACACGGGGCACGGAGGTCACGTAATAACATGGGAAGGACACACGATGACAACACAGGGCAGGGAGGTCACGTGATGACGACACAGGGCACGGAGGTCATGCAATGACGACGAGCAGCAAGGAGAACACGTGATGACACAGGCAGGAACGGCCCCCTCCCGACCCCCCCGTGCGCGGACACGTGAGGACACAGCAGGACAGTGACCCGGCGGCCCGAGTCCCACGCGCCACAGCAAGGCTGTTCACACAGCGGGGAAGCAAGGCCCGGCCCAGCCCACCTCCGGGCCGTGGCACATGGTGTGGGACACGGCACGGAACTCGGGCTGCGGGGCGGGACCCAAGTCCAGGTCCCTCGTGTGGCTCGGACGCCGCGTCCCCGGGCCCCACGCTGCTGCGCCCTCACCTCACCCTGCAGGTAGAAGTCGATGAGCGTCTTCATGTTCTGGAGGTTTCTGTCAAACTCGTCAGGGGGCTCTTGGCCAAAGAAACCTTCGTGGGGCGGAGGGGCCAGGAGCCTAGGGAGACGAGAGAGGGGCCTCAACGTCGGCCTGGGGGGCTCCAAGCACGCGGCTGGGCCCCGGGTCCTCGAGGCTGGCCGACCTGCACCCTCGCCAGCACGCGCCACACTGAGACCCGGGGAGCAGGGCTACCAGGACCCGTGGAGGAAAGTTCTAGAACTGACTTCTGCTGTCCGAGCTGCCGGTCAGCTCAGGCCAGCGCTGGGCAGGGAATGAACAACCAGACTGAGGGACCTCCGGTGACCTCGGGGACAGGGGGGCTCGGGATCCAGGGGATCCAGGGGACCTCAGGAGATCTGGGGGCCTCAGGGAATCCAGGGGACCTTAGAGGATCCCAGGGACAGGGGGCCTCAGGGAATCCAGGAGACCTCAGGTGATCCCAAGGTTAGGCGGCCTCAGGGGATCCAGAGGGATCCAGGGACAGGGGACCTCAGGGGATCCCAGGGACACAGGGGGCCCCAGGGCATCCAAGGGCAGTAGACCTCAGAGGATCCCAAAGGCGGGCGCCCTCGGGGATGGGGGACCACCCCACCAAGTCAAGCAATCCCCGCGTAGACCTGCCTCTAACAGGTAACCAGTGAGCCTGCGTGCGGTCACGGGCGCGACGGTGGAGCAGCGTTCCTCTCCCGTGGTGCTCCCGCCCGTCCCGTCCTGTCCCCTGGGCCCGTCCTGTCCCCTATACAAAGCCCTGGCGCCTGACCTGCCCTCCAGCCTGCACCTGCAGGCCTGCAGCTGGCGGGACGTGGGACACGGGCTGTGGGGCCTGCCTCCGAAGTGCCGCACTCACCTCCTGCAGATGAGCTCGCCCGCGGCCGTGGCCATGGGCCTGTAGGCCGCGTACACAAACTGGAACAGGAACACGTACTCCATGGCCGAGAACACGCCCACGTAGTGCCTGGGGGGACGCGCTCGTGAGCCCCGGGCCTGCACGCCGGGCTTCCCCACACGTCGGCACGAGACGCGCTGCCACCAGGGCCCTGCCTCACACGCCCGTGCACGCGGGGCGCCACGCTCCCCTCCAATCCCCTGTTGGGCCACTGGCCCCAGGCGCAGCCTCCCCTACACGGGGCCCCCGGGAAGCCGACGCTCACTCACGCAGCCACGTCCCAGGACACGAGCCCAGGCCATGGGGGAAGATGCCACGAGAGCTGGCCCCCAGCGCAGGATCCTGGGAGGCCCGCCCCCGACAGGGCTGCCGGTCCTGGGCCCTTTCCCCTCCAGCCCCTGTGGGCACCGGGGCCTCTCCGGGGTGTGCCCCCGGCCCACGCAGCACTCCTGGTGCCAAGCAGGCAGGCGCCCTGCAGGGTGCACTCAGGGGGAGTGATCAGGGGATGAGGGTGGGCGACACCCCGACACCACATGGGGAATGCCACATTGTCCAAAGGTGCACGTTGAGCCCATGTGTGGCACCGTGTCCGCCGCAGCCCAGCCGTTTGCCGACAGCCCCTGGGCACTGCCAGAAGCAGCAGGAACAGGGCAGGGGACCTCGGGATTCTGGGGACACGGGGCCTCAGGCGATCCAGGGAGGATCCAAGGGTGGGGGGAGGCCCCAAGGATGCAGGAGACCCAAAGGGTAGGGGGAGACCACAAGGGCGGGGGGGGCCAGGGGTACGGGGGAGGCCCCAAGGACATGGCGGGAGACCCCAAGAGCAGGGGGGAGACCATAAGGGTGCAGGGAGGCCCCAAGGACGTGGGGAGATCCCAAGGGTGGGGGTAGAGGTCCCAGGGATGCAGGAGAGGCCCCAACGGTGGAGGAGTGACCTCAAGGATGTGGGGAGGCCCCAAGGGTGCAAGAAACCCCAAGGGCATGGGGGAGGCCCCAAGGAGGCGGGGAGGCCCCACGCAAGTGAGAGGTACCCCTGCACTCGCCCGCGGGCGCCGCACTCAGCAAGGAGCACACTCTGTGGTTCTGGGTCGGCCCCGTCCAAACCTCAAGCCCCAAAGCCACGCGACTCCGCCCAGTGTGGGGCACCCAGGCCCCTGCCGTGACCGACCCAGTGCACTGGCACCTGCCTGGGGACTCGGGCCACGGTGTGGCCCCAAGACCTGGAGCCTTACCCCCCGAGGCCCGCGAGCTGCCATCAGAGATGCAGCTGGAAGGCCTGGGAACAGGACCGCCAAGGGCGACAGAAGACGGACGTGCGTGTGGGAGCCCGGCCCAGCAGACGCACACTTGCACACTTCCTCCCCGTTGTAGAAGGCGGCGCCCCCTGATTAGACGCGGCCCACCCCCAGGGAGCACAGGCCAACCTATCCGGGAGCTCCTCAGCCGGAATCCCACGTAAGCTGCCGCCCGCAGCGCCCACCGACGGGGAGCAGCGAGGTTGACGCGAGGCTTCGGCCGTTGCCACTTCCTGGCAGGCGCGTGCAGCTTCCAGCTGCGGACTCGCCGCAGACCCCCAGCCATGACGAGCCCCACAGCTTCAGTCCCAGAGCCTGCTCTGCGTGCCCCAGGGCCACCCGCCACCGTGCAGGCCCTCAGGAGGGCTCCCCTCCCCAGCTCGCGCACACGTCCTGGGACGTCCCCACCTCTGCGACAGTGAGCCGATTCCCACCAGGGCCTCCTTCCACGTCCCCACGGCCCCGTCTCCCTGCAGGACGCTGACACAGCGGCCACAGGAACAGCACAGAGCAGGACACGCAGCCAGCCTGGGCTGCCCGCCCTCCACGGGGCAGGAGGCAGAGGCCCCCACCCGGGGCTGGAGGGGCCCCCACAGCCAGGCCTGCGGCACCCCTGGAGGACATGGCACCTGAAGGACGCAGGCCCGGCCGTGAGATGCGATCTGCCGCCCAGACCCAAGGCCTCCAGCACCTTCTGGATCCCCGTGCAAGTGCGCTACCCGCTGCCGCCAACGCCAAGAGAGTCGTGGGGTCCACTGGGGGACCTGCCGTCCCTGCCCACAGGCTTGTCTGGGTGGGCAGGAGAGGGCCCACGCCCCAAGTGCAGCCGCGCACTGTGCTCAGGACGGGGCGGCTCCAGGGCGCTGCAGGTGCTCCTCCCAGGACCCGGGCCAACCCAGGCCGTGCCGCCCGTGGGCGTCCTGCTCTGTGCATAGGGCGGTGCGCTCTCATGTGCCAGCTTGTCACCCATCTGTGCTCCTGGGGGGCGCAGGGAGCATCCTGCCAGGTGCGGGTGGCACCGGCCTCCACGGGACCCACAGCACGGCACGCAGGACGCCCGCACCCGTCCCCAGCTCCAGGGTGCCCGTGTGCGCGGCAGCAGGACACACAGCCACCGAGGATCCGACACCCAAGTGGCCTCACGCTGTCCTCGGCTCAGGGCACGCCGGCAGCACGGGCAGGCACGCAGCCTCTGCGGCACAGCATGTCCTCCCAGCACCCGTCCTGGCGTCTACACACAGGGCCGAGCAGGAGGCTGTGACCTGTGTCCCCGTGTCCCTGTGTCCCCGTGTTCCCAACACGCTTCACATCAACATCGGACGCCTGACTCTCAACAAGGAAGCTGCATCCTGCAGGCGCCGGACGTACAGGGGAACAAGCACCCATCGTCCCGGCCTAAGACCTCACAGGGATCCAGGAGCTTCCAGAAGGTTCTGTGGGCCGGGCCGGTCGCTGCTGCCTCCTGAATCCAGCCACTCTATCTCCTCGGAGCCCCTGACACACAGGCAGCAGCGGACGGGGGAGGCTGGGACCCCAGAGAGAACCGCACACCCGCGAGGGCCAGGCCAGGCCCGGGGTGACCTCAGGTGACCCAACGAACCCTCCCCTCGGATCTCGGATCTGAGCCAGGACGCTGGGGACCATTCTCCAACCTTGCAGGAGCGCCACCCACCCGGCCCACCAGAGCCCGCCCACCTGGCCCGCCCTGCGCAGCTGGCCCCGCCCCATCTGTGCATCTGGCCCCGCCCACCCGGCCTCCCACGCCCCCGGCCCCGCCCCCACCCTCCACCTGTGCACCTGGGCCCGCCCACCGGGCTTCCCACGCACCTGGCCCCGCCCCCGCCCGCGCACCCTCCGGCCCGCCCCACCCGTGCACCTGGCCCCGGCCCCGCCCCCCGCCCCCACGCACCTGTCCCTCCGCCCGCCCCCCGCGCACTCACTCGGAGATGAGCCTCAGGAGCTGCATGCACTCGGACGTGATCTCTGGCTGCTGGTCCTGCGTCATGGACAGGATGCGCTTCTGCGGGAGCAAGACCGCGGGCGACCACCGTCTGCGTGACGTGACGTGACGCCGCGGCCCCGCCATCCCCGGAGCCGCCCGGACGCCCACGGCGGCGGCAGACACGCAGCCTGGCCCCAGCGGGCGCGCCTGGGCACCGAGAGCCGGGCCCCCCCCCCCCGCCCCCCCCCAGGTGCAGCCCTGCCTTGGTCGGGGGCAGGTGCCTTCCCCGCGGCCGCCAGGCCTGCGCTGGGTCGTGCCCTCGTGTGGGCGCCCCGGGTCCGCCCAGACGCCAGCACCCGCCCCTGGGGTGACGCCCTAGGGTCCCCAGACGTTGTCCCTCGCGGTCACCTGCCGCGGGCGCACCGTGACAGGGAACGCGCGCACGAAGCTGGGACGCGGGGCCTAGGCCTTCGGGGCCACCGGTCGTCAGACCCCAGCCCTAGAGCCAGCAGACAGGAGACCCCGTCCCCAGACGCTGCCACTCATCAGGTCCCGGGGGGTCGCAGACCCAGGACTGGGACCTTCTGCCCCCAGACACGACCGCGCCCTGAGGGGGCTCAGCGCCCTGCACACCCCGGTGCTTGAAGCTGGAGGGTCCGAGAGCCCATGGGTCCAGCACAGCAGTCCCCGCGGCCTCCCTGCACCTGCAGCACAGGTGCGCCCTGAGCTCCCAGACGGTGCACACAATCGTGCCCGGGCTCTCCCTGGCGCCCACCCTTCCGCAGGCGTGACGTCATGTGTCCTGACCTCCCCTGGGGGGTCCCCAGGTCAGGACGGCTTCTATCAGGACACGACCATGCGGGACTGCTGGGCACCTGCCCTCCCCGGGTTCCTGCTCAGACCCCACTGCGGACGCTGACAGGCTTGAGGACCAGTCACTGTCCCGCACTCCCCCGAGGACGGGGCACCCCTGCCACGCACACTGGCTCCGCACGTCCAGGGTGCACCTCCGTGGCCCGAACCCCACTCCCAACCAGCCACACGTCCTGGGTCCTCCCCTTGTGGCTCCCGCGCCCATGATGGAGAGGTCAGCACCCCGCCTGCCCCCTGGGGGTGTGCACACCCCGCACCCTGTTTCCAGGCCAGGACATGCGTCTCCAGAGCGCAGTGACAGTCAGGCAGCCCGGCCGGGGGCTCAGACACCCCAAGAAGTTCCGGGTTCACCTTCGCAGCACAGCGGCCTGGGCACCCGGCTCCGACGTGCGCCACACCCTCGGGTCCCCAGCGGCTGCTGCGCGCGTCCCGTCCACACGGGCACCGAGATGCCTCGGAGGGGGCGGCAGCCAAGACACAACACCTCACGCACCTTGAACTTGTGGAAAAAAAGCCCCAACTTCATGGCCGACTCTCGCTTCTCGTAGAGCGCCTTCAGCGCCAGGATGCACTTCATGCGCACGTTCGCATCCTTGGGGACAGAAACGGGGCGGGTCACCGCAGAACGGCGGCCGCGCCCCCACACTCCCGCAGACGCCTCCGTCCATGACCGCGCAGGCCGCCCGCAGCCTGAAACAGTCGAGGCGGGACCTGCGGGTTGGTGACCCCCTCACGGGGCACAGATGCCTTCTGGGGTCTGAACTGTACACCCCCAGGTCACAGGTTGGCCCCCGTGCCCCCAGGACGTCCGATGGGGCTGTTTTGGGAGGTGGGGTCTGTAATGGCGGGACGAGGCTGCCAAATGAGGTCAGTAGGGCGGGCTGATCCCATAGGACGGGCCCCTATAAAGAGACGGGAGGATGCAGACACGCGGAGTGGAACGGGCACGTGAGGACATGGGGAGAGCTCGGGGTCTCCACGCCCAGGACGGAGGCCTCGGGTCACGATCTCGGGGTCCTGCACTGAGCCCCACATCAGGTCAGGGCTCCCTGCTCAGCGGGCCGTGCTGCTCCCTCTGCCCCTCCGTCACCCCGGCGTGTGCCTGCTGGCCTCCCTCAAATAAACAAATAAAATCTTAAAAAAAACAAGAAGGAGAGAAACAAACACCCGCCTGGCCCAGCACACCCAACGGCTCCGCGACCCCTGCACCCCACGCGTTCTCTGTACAAAACTAAGCGGGTCCCTGAGGTCGTCTCGGGGCTAAAGCTGCACGTGGGCAGCGCAGGGCCCAAAGCAGGACACAGGCCCGCGCCGCACCGTGGCCCCACGTGGGGTGAGGCTGCCCGCAGGGGCGTGGTGGGCGGCCTATCAGGGAGCGCACGTCCTCCGCACCCAGGGGTCACCCTGCGGGGGGCGCTCGCCGAGCCTAGGGCCAGCGGGGCGGGGCCTCTCAGTGCCTCCCGGAGGTCTCCACCCCCTAAGCAATGCGGGGCACAGTGGGGGCAGCCCCCCAGGACCCGGGAGCACCGCACACCCCCACGCGCCCCGCTGCCGTGACAGCGCCCACAGCCGAGCCCCGCAGGCCCAGCGTGGCCCCAGCGGCAGCCCTGACGGCCTCCTCCCTGCACACCTGGCTCCCGTGGCCCAGTGCAGTCACCGCGCTTGTGGCCGCGCACTAGGCCACTCCCACTCCCACACCCCACAGGGGAAATGCAGAGAAATCTGCTCCAGGCCAATGTGTGTTACCGCAAAATCCATAAGTTAGCTCTCGACCCCCCCAGGGGATGGTATGTGCAGGTGAAGCCTCCGGGAGGGGACCGGTCCTATGGGTGGAGCCCCCGGGAGGGACCAGGTCCTAAGGATCGAGCCCCCAGGAAGGGGACTGGGTTCTAAGGGTGGAGCCCCCTGGGAGGGGACCAGGTCCTAACGCTGGAGCCCCCCGGGGAGGGAAACAGGTCCTAAGTGTGGAGCCCCAAAGAGGGGCCCAGGTCCTAAGAGTGGAGCCCCGGGGAGGGGCCCGGGTCCTTGTAAAGGACGAGCCCCAGAGCGCCCCCTCACCCCCAGCTCCAGGCGAGGACCAGGCGGGAGGCGCACCGTGAGCCAGGGATCAGGGTTCCCTCCCGTGGGGTCTGCAGCCCCGGGACCCGGGACGGCCGGGCCCAGCAGCGAGGACAGGGAACACGCAGCTGGGCAGCCCCGCGGGGGGTCCGCCACCGCCGCCTGCCCCAGCTCAGCCCCAGGACACAGAACAGCTCACAGTCCAGCCGCCTTGCCCTTTCCCGCAGAAACAAACCCGTCCACGCCACAACCCAAGACCGCTGCCCCGCGTGGCCGACCGCCGCCCTCCCACCCACGCCGTCCACGGCAGCACGCCGCAGGCAATCGGGCATTTGTCTCAACACCGTGATGAGCCACAAGCTCGTAAAACTCCACGCACAGCGGAGGACCGCCCGTGGGGCCTTGCCTGCAAAATGCGCGGAGCAGCGGAGCTCCAGGGGTGCCCCCACGCCTGCCCCTCGCACCCTGGAGGCAAGAGCCCCAGCTCCGGAGTCATGCGCAGGACAAAACGGCTCCGGAAACGGGATCACAGCCACGGGTGGGCACAGACAACTCCCAGGGCTGCGTCACGGTCGCTGCCGCCCGGAAGGCATCTGATCAGAAGCGCCGACCGACACTCGTTTAGTCTGTGATGGGAGCAAGGCGCCCGGCGGCCGCGGGACACCCCCCGCCCCCCGCCTTTGCTGTGCGGGGACGTGAGCGCGGGGTTCAGAGCTGCGCTGTCGAGGGTCGTGGCCTGGCGTCAGGCCGGGTGAGGACCGAGCTGGCCGTAGGCGGGTGGACCGGGACCGGGACCGGGACCGGGCGGGCTACGGGGACGCAGGCTGGGGTCACCTGCGGACGTGGCCGCTCCGTGATCCTCTGCGGGGGGGCAGATGCGACGCAGGGCCACGTCCGCAGGTCTCCCGGGGACAGGTGACCCCACAGCCCGAACCCGCCGTCGGGCCCAAGGACGGCAGCGCACGGAGAGCCTCCCCACGACGCTGGGCTCCGGACAGACGGCGAGGCCACGGCGGCGCGCGCACCTTGTCGTACAGCATCCAGCCGATATACTTCAGGTAATTGTTGTCCAGGAACATGTCTGGGTACAGGCGGATCCAGCAGCCCAGCTCCCCCATGCAGATCACCCGGATGTCCGAGCTCACGTCCCTGGGAAACGAGCCAGCGTGTCACCCGGCGGCCAGGTGCGTGGCAACCCGGGCTGAGCGAGGCTAGGTCACGGCCCGGGGCGCGGGGCACGCAGGGAAGAGCCTTACCGGTAGCGCGGCACAAACGTCCTTTTAAAGAGCGCGCAGATGATGTTGTCGATGGCCATGGGCTTGTTCTGGAACTGCGGTGGCACAAGGACGGGGGCGCTGGGCTGGGCTCCGCAGGCTGCCACCAAGCCACGGCTGGGGGGCAGTCACCCCTCGACACACATCTGCATCCTCTACACTGACCAGCCTGCGCCACTCGCTGCGGACCGTCCCGCCCCCGGATCTGGGCCTCTGGGGCCGCCTCGCACACGCTGACCATGCACACACGTGGGCGTACAGGGCAGGGGTGAAGGCGCTGGGAGGAGGAGCAGGAGGGGAGAAGGGGTGCAGGGAGGGGAGGAGCAGGGTGCAGGGAGGGGAGGAGCAGGGTGCAGAGAGGGGAGGAGCAGGGGTGAGGGCGTGCAGGGTGAGGGTGCGGGATGCAGGCGGTGCGTGGCGGGGGGACAGGGTGGAGGACTGTGCTGCGCCAGAGGAACCTAGAGGGGCAGGACCCTCAGAGGCGCACAGTTGTCTTTCTGGAAGCTTCCTGTACCCCAAGGTGTGGATGCCATACAGGTGACCTCCCATGTGCCCACAGGTGTGGGGGGGCTCAGACAGCAGGGGGATGAGGGGTGCAGGAGGGGGGACAGGAGACAGCGCAGGAGGTACAGAGACAAATGACAGTTTGCACCGGTGGAAGCACAGGTGAGCCCAGGAACAGATTCGTCTATGAGCATCGCAGGGACGGGGGGCACCTGCCTGTCCCCAGGACGACCCCCCCCCAGGGTCGGCAGCTGGAGCAGGACACGGACTCGGGTTGGGGCAGGGACTGCTGGCCCCGCTGTGCGGCCGCACCCCTCCTGGCCGCTGGCGTTTGGGAACCTGTAACCCTGGGGAAGGTCACAGCCCTGGGGACGGGGTCTGTCCTCACCACCGGCGCCCATGCATGGGGTGCAAACCACACAGGGGCAGCCGGGCGGCGGAGGGGCCCAGGGTGGACTCTGGCTCCTACCTGCTTTCCTGCACAGTGATGTCCTCACACCTGGGTCCCCCCCTCCCTCCGGTGCTGCCCCCCCCCGCGCCACCCCCTCACCTGGTGCCGGCGCTGGTCCAGCAGCTCCATGTAGTACTTGTGCCTGCCCTTGAGCTTGGTGATGCTCTCGATCTCGTATAGCCGCTGCGCCGTGCGCCTGCCCGTGCAGATGCCCTGGTTCACGCTGGCCAGCGCCGTCAGCAGCTTCATGGCTGCCAGCAGAGCGCGGCCGTGACTCCGGGCCGTGACCCCAGCGCTGGGCAGCACCTGCCACGCCAGGGCCCATTCTGGCCATTCAGCGGGGGGATCAGGGTGACACGGGGGCGGGAGGCCGGGGCCGCTGGGGCTGCTGCCTCCTGCCCCTGCCGGGCCGCGCGTGGACGGTCCCCCTGATGACGAGCGTGTGTGCCAACCCGAGAACACGAATGGGCAACCCCGGGACGTACACACACCCGTGACCTCCGCCGCCTCAAGGTCAGGTTGGGGTGCTGGCGGGACAGAGCGGGCTGCACGTGGCCTCGGAGGGCACGGCCAAGGACTGTCGCTGTGCCCCACCCTCCTGCCACAGAGGCCAGGATGGGACCCTCGGGGGCTCGCGCTGCCTTTACCTGTGTCCCCTGCAGGCCCAGGCATGGGGACAACACACACGCGGCCCCAGTGGGGCTGACGCCCATGCACACACGGGAAAGAGCCCTCAGTGTGCACGACCCGTCTGGCAGCCGGGATCCGAGCCCCACGTGCAGCCTCCTGCTGCAGCCTCGTCCTGGCCCCTGCGCTCCTGCGCGGTTACCAGGTGACAGGGCCGCGCGTGTGTGTGCGTGTGTGTGACGGTCACTCTGCAGGGCGCTGGCTGTCGGCTGCCGCACCTTCCGGAAGCACCCTTCACTCCACTCCCAGGACGGGCCCAGGACCCTCCCACGGAGTCCCCGTGCTCAGCGCTGGCCTCGAGCGCCTGCCCAGGGACCAGCTACGCCAACGGAGCGACGCGCAACCAATGACCCGGTGTCTGGAACCAGTGGTCGCTTACGAGACATTAGACCCACGGACGGTGGGACAACTGATAACGGTTGTCACAAACAGGACCCGCCAGGGAAGGCCACTCCCGGGACTCGAGGGGACGGTCGGGCAGCGCAGGCCCAGGGCGCCGGCACCGGGTCCGGAGCACCGCGCCCTCCCGCACACGTCGCCCTTGCCCGCCGCGCTCCCCCCACCGCCGTCACGGCCTTTGCTCTTCGGGGAAGGTGAGCAGGAGCCGCTCGTGCCCCCGACACTCTGCTCCGGGTCCTCCCGCAGCAAACCCCCGTCCGAGGCTTCTGCGCCCCTGCAGCTCCCGGGGCCACCCGCCCAGCAGCCTCTGCGCCTGCAGGTCCGCACGCTGGCAGCGCGGGGTGTGGACACCGGCCCTGACCCGGGAGCCCAGGCCCACGCCCCCGTCCCCGGGGCCCCGCCCCATCGCCCCGCCCCCGGGGCCTGTGGCCCCGCCCCACGGCCCCGCGGGTCCGCCCCCAAGCCCGAGACTCCGCCCCCTGTAGCCAGAGACCCCGCCCCCGGGACCAGTGGACACGCCCCATGTGACCAGTGACCCCGCCCCGGTCCCTGGCCCCGCCCCTGTGACCAGTGACCACGCCCCGAAGCCAGAGACCCTCCCTCGGGGCAGTGGCCCCGCCCCCGGTCCGTGGCTCCACCCCCTGTGACCAGTGGCCCCGCCCCCGCCAGTGCCCCCGCCCCCGGGCCGTGGCTCCACCCCTGTGTCCGGTAGCCCCGCCCGCGTCAGTGGCCCCGCCCCTGTGACCAGTGGCCCCGCCCCCCGGGCAGTGGCCCCGCCCCCGGTCCGTGGCTCCACCCCCTGTGACCAGTGGCCCCGCCCCGTCAGTGGCCCCGCCCCCAGCCCGGAGACCCGGCCCCCGCCCCGCGGCGCCTCACCTGCCAGGGAGCTGGTGTGCCGCAGGCTGTACACGGCCGAGTTGGTGAGGCCGCTGAGCATGCAGATGACCGTGTCCATGAGGTGGCCGTCACACAGCACCGACGAGTGTGTCAGGTGCACCAGCAGCTCCGTGAACTCGCAGAAGTTCACCCTAAACCGTTTCCAGAAGGGCCCCGGCCCCACGATGGGGTAAAAGTCATTCTGCTGTGTTCAAGACAGAAGGGGGGCGAGGTGCTGTGTGACAGGGACACGGGTCTGGGCCCCGCGATCGCGACCTGGAGCGCTGCCCTGGACAAGGGTCTCCAGGTCACACGAGCACACCCTATGAACCTGGGGGTCCCACGTCCACACTGACACAGGGTGACCCCAAGTCTCCCTGACCCTGCACCTGGGGGGGTCACAGGTCCACACTGACACAGGGTGACCCCGTGTCTCCCTGACCCCGCACCTGGGGGGTCACACGTCCACATTCACCCGTGACCGCAGCTCTCACTCGTCCTACACCTGGGGGATCACAGGTCCACAGTGACCACAGTGACCCCAGCTCACGCGTGCCGTGCCCCTAGCCAAGATCAGATATACACACCCAGTGACCCCACCTCCCTGAGACCCAGCAGCTGGGGGTCACATATCCACAGCCACCAGGGTCACCCCATGTCCCCCTCAGCCTGCACCTGGGCCAATGGTCCCGCATCCCCCTGGGCAGGTCGGCAGGCTGCGCCAGGTGGCCCCCACTCCGGCATGTGCCCCAAGGAGCCGGGCCCTCTGGCTGTGGCCGAGCACGTAGAGCTGCCGACCGCCCTGCGAGCGTGAAAGCTCCTTACAGGCACTGCTCTGGCCCGTGAGGCTCAGCCGGGTCCTGCTGTCCCCAAGGGACCAGGGGACTCCCAGGGACTCCGCTGGGGAGGGGGGTCAGAGGCCGAGGTCAGGGAAGGCAGCAGTGCTGGGCCTGGGGGCACGGGCGCCCCCCGCCTTCCGTCTGCTTCCCCCCCCAACGCCCACAAGTCACCAGGACAGTCCACGCCCACCTCCTGCAGCACGTGTGACGCGGGGCTCACGGGGACAGCCCTCCTCCCGCCGCCTCCACACCCCTGCCCCGTGCACTCCCCGCGCTGCTCCCCGCACAGTACTCCCTCCACCCCGTCCCCCACGAATCCCCCCCATCCCCCCCCCGAACCTGCGGTTGCTGCTCCGTGCCCTAGAACAACTCCCTGTTCAACCACTCTGCACGCACACGCACACACTACACAAACCCTCACTGTGGGTCATTCCAACCATGAGCATCACAACACCCTTCGGGGGCTGACGCACCGAGTACGCAGAACACGACCAGGTCCAAATGTGCCAGTGTAGACAGATCAGTGTCAAGTCTAAATGTGCCAGTGAAGACAGTGAAGACAGATCACTGTCAGGGCTCCATGACACAATGTAGACAGATCACTGTCAGGTCCAAATGTGCCAGTGTAGACAGATCACTGTCAGGGCTCCATGACACAGCGTAGGCAGACCACTGTCAGGTCCAAATGTGCCAGTGTAGACATATCAGTAAGGTCTAAGTGTGCCAGTGTACACAGATCACTGTCAGGGATCCATGACACAGCATAGGCAGATCACTGTCAGGGCTCTATGACGCACTGTACACAGATCACTGTCAGGTCTAAACATCCCAGTGTAGACAGAATATGATCAGCTCTAAATGTGCCAGTGTAGAGAGAACACAGGTCTCCATGACACAGTGTAAACACGATGAGGTCTACATGTGCCAGTGTAGAGGAACAGTAAGGCTTCGATGACACAGTGTAGAAAGAACAGTCAGGTCTAAATGTGCCCGTGTAGACAGAACACAATCAAGTCTAAATGTGCCAGTATGGATGGAATAGTCAGGGTCCCATGACCAATGTAGACAGAACATATCAGGGCTCCATGATGAAGTGTAGACAGACCACTGTCAGGTCTAAATGTGCCCGTACAGACAGGACACGATCAGGTGTCAGTGTGCCAGTGTAGACAGATCACTGTCAGGGCTCCATGACAGTGCAGACAGGACACGTCGGGTATACGTGCACATTGTAGGCAGCACACGGCCAGGTAGACATTCCCAGTGTAGACAGAACAGGCTCGGGCCTAAGTGTCCCAGTGTAGACAGGACTCACTGACTGAACTCACTTTTGCAGGACGAATCAGCTCTAACTGCCCCGTCGCGCACAGACACAGCCCGGCCCCACCACCTCACGTGGGCCCTCAGTGTACTCGGCGTGGACCGAGCGCCGCCAGGTACCGTCGCGGTGTGCTCAAGCCTGGGAAGCGCTACTGTAGCCAGTGTGGACGGGATGGGGTGAGGTCGGGGGGAGCCCCCCTCGCCCCAGTCAGGACCCGGTGAGGTCGCAATCCAGCAGGCCGCCAGGACCCGGGCAGCGGGGCCCGCCTAGTGCTACCCGGCACATGCCATGGCCCCTCGTCCACGACCAGGGCGCCCGCCCCGCACGGGGAACCCGACACGAGCTCTGCGGGCTCCGCGGACGTGGGGCTCGGCAGGAAACCACGCGGAACCGCCCGTTCTGAAACTCCGCAAAGCGTGTTACCAGCTTCTCTGGCCACATGATGGTCAGGATCCAGGGGTAAGCCAGAAACTTCTTGTAGTACAGCCCGGTCTCCTGCAAGAACAGAGAAGCGGCGGTGACGTGCAGCGTCCCCGGGGCACCCAGCCAGCCCCGGAGGGCCAGGCCCGCGCAGCACAGGCGCTGGGAGCACCTCCGACCCCCCAGGGGCCGAAGCCCGTGGGCGGAGGGGGCCCTGCTCCGGGCGGCCGACAGTGTGCGTGCCCTCCTCTAGGCAGGAGTCCACGTCCGCCCTCACGCCAGCGCCCTCGGGAGGGGCGGGAACGGACAGTGGCCGTGGGGTGCAGCCCTTGGGTTCACGGGCTCACGCCCAGAACACACACTGCGTCTCCCTGGGGGCCAGGCAGGGGAGAAGGCACGGCACAGATGCCACTCGGTGGGGTGGGGGACGTGTGAGGTGCTCGCGCTCCCCTGGCGCACGCCCTATGGCCAGTACGTGTGTCACCTGCCTGCTGTGGGCCCTGCACGCACGGCATTTCCCCGGAGAGTATCCAGGGGCCTGCTCCTTGGAAGGCACAGGGTCTCCCGCGACGGAGGCAGGGTGGGGGGCTGGCAGAGCCACCACTGCTGCTTCTGAGGTGGGGGAGACTGAACACGACCCCGATCCGCGACGGGGGCTCCCCGAAGAGGAGGCACAATCTGAGTCAGGGCCACACCGAGTGACCCAAAGGAAGGACCTAAGTTTTGGGATGTGGAGGCCAGAAAAACAGCAGGGGTGTCCCCCACAACTGAGGGCCTGGGCTCTCCACACCCCTGAGCTTGCGGGCTTATGGGGAGCCCACCCGGGGACAGACGGCAAACGTCACATGGGGTCCCAGCGGGTTCCGGCGAACACACACAGTGGCACACACACAAATGCATGGGCCTACACACACTCGCTTACGTGCACATATACACACATGCATGCAGCACAGCACAGAGGCACATGCACGGACCTGCACACACACTCGCTCACATGCACACATGCACAGCACCATTCAGAGGCACTTGCATACAGATGGACCTGCACACACTCGCTCAGGTGCACACAGGCACATGTGCATGCACACACAGCACAGCAGCACGTGCACAGAGCTACACACACAAGCTTGCTCACTTGCACATATGCACACGTGTGCATGCACAGCACAGAGGCACATGCACACATGGACCTACATAATACTCATGTGCACATATGCAGACATGCATGTATGCACAGCACAGAAGCACATGTACACGCATAGACCTGCATACACTCATGTGCACATGCACATATGTGTCCGTGCACAGCAGCGTTGTGGCACATGCACACACAGACCTACACACATATGGACACGTATGAGCATTACAGCACCATTCATAAGCACATGCACACATGAACCTGCACACAAACTTACATGCACATATGCACACGTGCGTGCATGTACAGCACTGCAGAGGCATATGCATACGCATGGACCTGCACACACACACTCCCTCATGTGCACACGTGTGTGCACGCACAGCACGACTCAGAGGCACATGCACACACATAGGGAGTGAGAGTAAGGCAGGAGAGTATTAGCTGCTGAACACACTCGAAGCTTACGCGTCCTTCCCCTTTTCTTAGTTTAGTCGTTCCAAATAAGAAATCAAAGAAAAAAGTTACTGTTCTTTGACCTGATTCACAAGACTCTCGGAGGGCACTGTGAAAGTGTTTTAAGATATGAGCCATGAATGCAGAAATTACGCCCGTCCCTGAAAGGACGAGTCGATGAGCAAACCGCGGTCCACTCACACAGCGGAACAGGGCGCAGGCTCGAAGAGGAAGGACGTTGTGCACCTGCAGTGGACGGACCTTGAGGACGTGGTGCGCAGTGACATGAGCCAGCAGCGGCAGGACGGCTCCCACCCCAGAGCCCTGTTCCTGCCCGCACCCCACCCCGCCTATGGGCGCGCGTGCCGGGGGGGGCAGCGGGGCAGCGGCGCTCAGGAGGCAGCTCCCGCCCCGCGGCCCCGGGCTCCCGGGCTGCACGGAGCCCGCCGCACCTGGTCAAACTTCTCGGTCATCTTGTGCACCACGCTCTTGCCTTGGTTGCTCTGGTACAGCTCGGCCGTCACCACCCCTGCAGAAGAAAGGGGGACACGTGGCCCCAGCCGCCTTCTCCCGCGTGGTGACGCCTCGTCCGTGAGAGAGGAGGCGAGGCCGCAGAACCCGCAGCTCCCACTGTCCGCACGGTGGGGCCTCGGTGAGGCACGCGCAGGGTGCCCGTCAGCCGCCGCGGGGGCTTCTCGACAGGCTGGTGGGCCCTGCGGTGGCCGCAGCAGCTTCCAGAGGATGCCCTGGTTGTCCCCGGTGACGAACGACTGCTCGAGGTGTGATGCACGCATGGGCGAGGGGCGCACTCAGCAGCGGTGCGTACACTCACCGTGAGCGCCCATCACCAGGGCCCACTGCAGGCAGCCCCCCCCACACGTGGGCAGCGCCCTCTCGTTTCCCCGGCCCAGGAACCGCTGAGACGTCGTTCGTCGGTGGGTGCACGTGCCCATTGTGGGCATTTCATGCACAAGGGGTCACAGCTGTGCGACCCACACAGTGCCTGCACATCCCCCCGAGCACCATGTGCTCACAGTCCATGCACGCGGAAGCAGAGGTCAGCGCTTCCCCCCTGCCTGTCGCTGAATAATCTTCACCCCTCGATCCCACGACCCAGAGATCATGACTTGAGCTGAAACCAAGTGTCAGATGCTTAACCAGTGTGCCACCCAGGTGCCCCTGTGTCCCTCTTCTTACAAGGACATGGTCTCATGGGACCAGGGACACCCTAAGGACTATCTTCCTGCTTCCATCTGCAAAGATCTTACCTCCCAGTGAGGTCACATCCTGAGGTCCTGGGGTCAGGACGTGGGCGCATCTTCCCTTGGGGAAGAATCCATCCTTTGCTCTGAGATGACAACGCTGCTCACAGGAGCACGTAGGCAGGACAGGCAGGCCCAGCGAACCCATGTTTGGGGACACCCACAAGTGCCCAGGAGCACGGCTCACCTTCGCAGCCACAGCACTGGACGAAGAAGCTGATGAGGTCCAGCAGGGCCAGCTCCCTGTCCTCCTTATACGACTGTACCCACTCCTCGACGGCCGTCTGCATGGGCAACAGCCACTGGTGAGCACACGTGTGTGAGGAGGTGCATGTGACAAGCCAGCCGTGAGGACACGTGTGCGATCATGCATCAGATGGCCAGTGGTGAGCACCTGTGTCTGTGACGAGCAGTGTGTGATAGAGCAGTGTGAGCAGTGGTGCACACATGTGTGATGAAGGGCATGTGACGGGCCGACCGTGAGCACTTGTGTGTGTGTGTCTGTGTGTGGGATAAGCTGCATGTGATGGGCAGCAGCGGGCACTTATGTGTGTGTGAGATCACATGCATATGGTGCACAGTGGTGAGCACGTGTATGTGCATGTCTGTCATGAGATATGTGTGTGACAGGCAGTGGGGGCACTTGTGTGTGAGATCAAGTGTGTATGACAGACACGAGTGAGCACTTGAGTGTGTGTATAGGTGATGAGGTGCATGTGACGGCCAGCAGTGAGCACATGGGTGTGCTCATGTGTGTAAGATGAGGTGTGCGTATGACGGGCAGCGGTGAACACTTGTGTGTGCACGTGTATGTGATGAGGTGCATGCGACGGCATCAGTGAGCATGTGTGTATGTACATGTGTGTGATGAGGTGCATGAGAGCACACATATGTGTGAGATTACACGTGATGGGTAGTGGTGAGCATGTGTGTGTGAGGTCCCCTGTGTGCAACAGGCGGTGATGAACACGTGTGTGCATGTGTGTGTGAGATCAGGTGTGGGTGATGAGCAATGGTGAGCACGTGTGTGTCTGTGTGAGGGAGAGAGCAAGTGTGTGCTGGGCAGCACTGAGCACCTGTGGGTGTGCACATGTGTGTGGGATCAGGTGCATGTGATGGGCAGCTGTGAGCACGTGTGTGCAATCAGCTGTGTGTAGGATGGGAAGTGGTGACCACGTGTGTGCACGTGTGTGTGAGATCAGGTGTGTGTGCCGGGCAGCACTGAGCATGCGTGTGTGCACGTGTGTGTGCCAGGCCACGGGGAACACGTGCAAAGGGCATACGTGACACCCGGAGGGCAGGCTCACACGGGGCTGCGGCGCTGCCGCCTGCAGCGGGTGCTGAGTCCGCAGACTCCAACCAGGCACCCCGCCCGCACCCATGCCCGCACTCGCACCTTGCTCCCACATCCCGCTCCTGCACCCTGCACCCCGCTCCCTACGCCCGCACCCACACCCCACTCCCGCACCGGCTTGTGCACCCCGCTCCACACCCCGCACCCGCTCCCCGCTCCACACCCCACACCCGCTCCCCGCTCCCGCACCCGTGGCCCGCCCGCCCCGCTCCCACGCCCACTCCCACGCCCCGCTCCTGCACCTCGCGCCGGCTCCCCATGCCCGCTTCCCGCGCCCGCACCCGCGCCCCACGGTGGTGGCACCTGCACGGAGCTCCTCCCCAGGGCGACCATCTCAAAGAGGGTCAGCTCGGTGGTGACGGCCACTCTCCTCTTGCGCGGCTTCCGCGGCGGCCGCCCTCGCCGGTGGTTGCCCTGCCCGCTGGCACTCGGGCCCCCGGGGGCCGCTCCCTGCGTCTGAAAGCCAAGGCGAGGACGTGTCGGGGCTGCACCCTGCGCCGGAGCCCCGTGTCCCCCGGAGCCTGAGGAGGCCCTGCTGAGGTCCTGGGGGACGAGGACCACGGTCCTGGGAGCTCCACCCGGTCAAGAATGCGGCCAGGCGGGAACCCTGACAATCAGGAGACAACAGCGACCCCGCGGCACGCCCTGCGGGGCCCGGCCACACCACATCGTCACGGCCGTCACTTCAAACAAGTCCTGGCTCCGCGTGGCCTGTCTGCACCTGCCAGAGGCCGCCCCTGCTCACCTGGGACCCCGGGCGGGGACTGCAGGATGGGCTGGGCCGCGGGCACCTGCAGTGACGGCAGCCGAAGACACCCCAGCACCGCCCCCAGCAGGGACGGGACGCCCAGTTGGAGGACAGGGGAGGGGACACTGAGCCTGAGGACTGGGAGGGGACACCATGTATGAGGATGGGGAAGAGACACTGAGCCTGAGGGTGGGGAGGGGACACCATGTCTGAATGTCTGCGGATGGAGAGGGCACACTGAGCCTGAGGACAGGGAAGGGATGCCGTGTCTGAGCACCGGGAGGGGAAGCACCCTGGGAGCACCATGGGGCCCTGGGCTTGTGGTTCAGTGGGCAGGCAATGTAGGGACGAAAGCTTCCAGGGTCCAGGGGGGAACCGCCCAGCGCCCAGCCTGCCGTGGAGAAGCACGTCGCCACCCCCACCCGGGCATCCCTCCCAGCAGTGCTCTGTGCCAGCTGGAGCTCCTCCTCCTGTCATCACCTCAAACAAGGTCACCATGGAGATGAACTGGCCAGCCTGGTTCCTGAGCCTCCTGCACGAGGGCCGCCCTCGCCGTCGGGGTCCACGCCCCCTGACATCCCGGCCCCCTGAGGGTCCTTCCTGCACCTACAAGCAGAATGTGGGATGTGAAGAGTCAGGGAAGGCGGGGGACCGGACGCCAGCTTGACGACAGGACCCCTCACCACAGGAGTCAGGAAGCACAAGCGCAAAGTAGCCGCTACAGCTGCCAGTTCCCAGCAGGGGCCCCCAGGGGAGGAGGGATGCCGCCCAAGTCACCCACTGCAGCTGCGGGACAGACGCCTGGGTCAGAGTTCCAGACTGTCGCCAGGCCCTCAGCTGACTGCTCATACAGCAGCCTCCCCTGCGCCCGTGTCCCCATCTGCGTCCCCGGCCCAGCCTGACACAGCAAGTCCACGTGCTGCAGCCACAGCCATGAACCAGCCGTGTCCAGGGAACCCAGTGCTCAGGGCTGTCTGTCAGCGCCATGGGGTACCCATCACCCCACTGATCAGGGCCCAGGATGCAGATGGGGAGCTCATGCCCATGATCGCCAAGGTCGGGGGAGGTCAGTCTCCTGGGACAGGTGAGCCAGCTCTCCCTGTCCTTATGGGCGGGTGGGGCCCAGGGTCTGAGCCCACCACAGCCTCAGGGAGGGTGGCTCGGAACCCGGGGTCATGTTCACGTGCAGATGAAGAGGGTCACAGTAGAAGCTGCAGTCATGTGCAAAGACGGCAGACCCCGGCAGTCACGGAGACAGTGAGACTGGGGGGGTCTTGGCAGAAACTGCGGCCACATAGGCAGACAGCAGCACTCAGGGGTCACTCAGGGTACTCCTGCCCCATAGCAGCCTGACCCTCCCTAGTGGGCTGCAGCTCCCGCGTGAGGATCAGTACGGACGCAGTGAGAGCCACGGCCACACCTGCCCCGACCCGAGGCTGCCCCGCTTGCTACAATCTGACCCACCAAGGGCTCGCTGACACTGTGAGTCCCCGAGGGCCATCCTGCGGCACAGAGGGCCTGCTGGATAGGCGCACATACAGCACCCCACCCCTGCATCCCCACCCTGGGGGCCTCCATGGTATCACCACATGGCACAGTCTTCAGAACCGAGAACATGCAAGGGCTCCAGGGCTAGGCCAGGCTGGCTCACTGGCACGATGACCTCACCGCCACACACACCAGGTCCCGCCTCTAGGAACCGCACATTGACACGTGTGTACATGACAGTCCTTGCGTCAGGAACACGCTCTCAGGTGCCTTCAGGAAGATAAAATTACAAAGGTACATGCATCCCCAGAGACACTGCGATGACGCACATGTGGTGTGATGCTCATGTGAGGAATTTATATCTTTGATCCCTACTTGTCTCATCAGTGTCTGAGAATTGGGTTAAAATCTGAAGCTATAAAAGGCATTTTCTGTAGTGTTACGTAGAATAGGGAAGAGGGAGCAGAGTAAATGTTTGAAGGTGGAGGAATGGCAAGCAAGTGGTACGTCCTGGGGATAACAAGGACCAAAAGCCAAACCTTAGACTTTCTTATTTGAAATTATTACAGACTTGCAGAATATGTGCAAAAATCATACACAGGGCAGCCCGGGTGGCTCAGCGGTTTAGCGCTGCCTTCAGTCCAGGGTGTGATCCTGGAGACCCAGGATCGAGTCCCACATCGGGCTCCCTGCATGGAGCCTGCTTCTCCCTCTGCCTGTGTCTCTGCCTCTCTCTCTCTCTCTATGTGTGTGTCTTTCATGAATAAATAAAACCTTTAAAAAAAAGCTATCTCTATTGTTAAGAATAAATAAATAAAAATAAATTGCTCCATGTGGCCAGCAGCACTGCATGAGGGATGAATAAGCACTAGAGGCACAAGTCTCCTTGCCCATGGAAGACTGGGTGGTTGTCCTATACCTGCTTCTACACTGGGCCAGAAACAGGGCAAGGTTGACTGTTTCTATTCCACAAGGTACTGGAAGTCCTACCCTGTGGAACGAGGAGGGGAAGGAAATGAAAGGCATCAGACTCAGAAAGAAGGTATAAAATTATTCTGAGGCTAGACCTGCCCTACGACCCAGCAATTGCACTGTTAGGGATTTACCCCGAAGATTCAGATGCAATGAAACGCCGGGGCACCTGCACCCCGATGTTTCTAGCAGCCATGTCCACAATAGCCAAACTGTGGAAGGAGCCTCGGTGCCCATCGAAAGATGATGGATAAAGAAGATGTGGTTTATGTATACAATGGAATATTACTCAGCCATTAGAAATGACAAATACCCACCATTTGCTTCAACGTGGATGGAACTGGAGGGTATTATGCTGAGTGAAGTAAGTCAATCGGAGAAGGACAAACAGTGTATGTTCTCACTCATTTGGGGAATATGAATAATAGTGAAGGGGAATATAAGGGAAGGGAGAAGAAATGTGTGGGAGATATCAGAAAGGGACACAGAACATAAAGACTTCTAACTCTGGGAAATGAACTAGGGGTGGTGGAAGGGGAGGAGGGCGGGGGGTGGGGGTGAATGGGTGACGGGCACGGAGGGGGACACTTGACGGGATGAGCACTGGGTGTTATTCTGTATGTTGGTAAATTGAACACCAATAAAAATTAATTTATAAAAAATAAAATAAAATAAAATTATTCTGAGGCAATTTTGACACGATTGGCTATGTAGAAAAATCCCAAAGGACATACCAAACTCTCTCCTCAAATTCAAAAGTGAATTTAGCAAGGCCACAGGATACAAGGTCAGTATAATGAAATCAATCTTATTTCGATAAACAAGCAATGAAAAATTGGACACCGAAAGTTTTAAAAAACAGTACGTATTACGACAGCTCCTCAAAAACAAAATACTTAAGACATCAGCCTAACAAAATACGTGTAGGGTCTGTGTACTGAAAACTACAAGACTTTGATGAAAAAAAATCAAATAAGACCTTCAGAAACAGTGAGCTATACCATGTCCATGGAATGGAATGGGGATTGGGCCGCTCTACAACAGCTGGGGACGTCAATACGCCACTCTCAATAGGGACAGAACGACCAGACAGAAGACAAGTGAGGATGAAAAGGACTTAAGAAACCAACTAGATCTAAGATACATACACTGAGCCCTCCACCCAGCAACAGCCAGCACACACCTTCCACTCATGAGCACTCGGGACACTCCCCAGAACAGACCACTTGTTAGGCCACAGATGAAGTCTTAATAGATTTCAAAAGACATAACATACGAAGCATGTTCTCTGACCACAATGAAAGAAGTCAGAAGCCAGGAACAGAAGGAAACCTGGAAAATTCACAAATCTATGGAAATTAAAACACATACTACTGGGCAGCCCGGGTGGTTCAGCGGTTTAGCACCACTTTCAGCTGAGGGCCTGATCCTGGAGACCCAGGATCGAGTCTCACATCGGGGTCCCTGCATGGAGCCTGCTCCTTCTTCTATCTCTGTCTCTGCCCCCTCGCCCTCTGTGTCCCTTATGAGTAAATAAGTAAAATCTTAAAATAAATAAATAAATAAATAAATAAACAAACAAACAAATAAATATAAAATAAAATAAAATAAAACACATACTACTAAAGAATGAGTAGATCAGAGAAGAAATCACAAGGGCAATTAGAAAATACTTAGGGACAAAGGGAAATGAAAACACAACATCACTAAAACTTCCAGGACACTGGGAAAGCAGTGCTAATGGGAAATTCATAGCTATAAATGCAGACACTGAAAACCGAGAAAGATCTCAGATCAACAAGGCAAGTAAGTTTACATGTTAAGGATCAAGAAAAAGGACAAAGTGAATCCAGAGCTTGCAGAAGGAAAGAACTAATAAAAATTAGAAGTGACGGATGCCTGGGTGACTCAGCAGTAGCGCCTGCCTTCGGCCCAGGGCATGATCCTGGAGATCCGGGATCGAGTCCCACGTCGGGCTCCCTGCGTGGAGCCTGCTTCTCCCTCTGCCTGGGTCTCTGCCTTTCTCTCTCTCTGTGTCTCTCATGAATAAATAAATAAAATCTTTTAAAAAAATCTGCACACACCTATAACTAGTACGAGACTGAATCATTAATCAAAATCTGAGAGACCACGAACATGACGGCTTCACTGAAGAATTGTACAAACCTGCTTTTTTTTTTAAAGATTTTATTTATTTATTCATGAGAGACAGAGAGAGAGAGAGAGAGAGAGAGAGAGAGGCAGAGACATAGGCAGAGGGAGAAGCAGGCTCCATGCAGGGAGCCTGACGTGGGACTCGTTCCCGGGGCCTCAGGATCAGGCCCTGAGCTGAAGGCGGCAAACCACTGAGCCACCCGGGCTGCCCCGTACAAACCTGTTTTACAGAGAACCAGTACCAATCCTTCCCAAACTTTTCCAAACACTGAAGAGGAGGGAAGACTTCCCAAGTCCATCCAGGAAGCCAGCATTACCCTGATTCCAAAGCCAGAGACACTGCAAGGGAACTACAGACCCATGTCCCTCATGAACACTGATGTGGAAATCCTCAAAAATAAACCCGCAAACAGAACTCAGCAGCACGGTAAAGGACGATGCAGCCACGTGGGGCTTACTCCTGGAGTCGAAGCTTGGTTCAAAATACAAGAACTGATCAACGTAAGGCACCACGCCAACAGAATTAAGGAAACATATCACATGATCAATTGCATTGATTCAGAAAAAGTATCTGACGAAACGCAGTACCCTTCCGGATAAACACAGACACACACACACACACACACACACACACACACACACACGCCGAGAACCTCCTAAGAATAGACAGAAATGATCTCAATGTAACCAAAGCCGTCTATGAAAAACCCACAGTGAACACCATGGGGAACGTGGAGAGGCTCAAGGTCTTCCTGTAAGATGAGGAGCACGGCAAGAATGTTCATTTGTGCCACTTGTATGTATGTATGTATGTATGTATTTATTTATTTATGAGATGGCTTTTTTTAAAAAGATTTTATTTATTTATTCATGAGAGACACAAACAGAGGCAGAGACACAGGCAGAGGGAGAAGCAGGCTCCATGCACCGGGAGCCCGACGCAGGACTCGATCCCGGGGCCTCAGGATCATGCCCTGGGCTGAAGGCAGGTGCTAAACCGCTGTGCCACCGGGGCTGCCCGTGCCACTTGTATTTAACACAGTAGTGGGAGTAGTGGCAGAGCAAGCAGGCCAGGCGAGAGAGAGAGAGAAAGAGAGGAAGGAGGAAGGAGGGAAGGCAGACAGACAGACGTCCAAACCGGAATGAGTCCAATTACGTTTGCAGATGATATGATGTCACGTGTAGAAACCCTCGCGATCCTAGACACACACACATAACTGTGGGAACCAACACATGAATTCAATCAAGTCACAGGATACAAGGTCAACACACAAAAATCAGCTGCATTTCTACACACCGGTAACGAACAACCTGAAAAGGAATTAGAAGAGGACACAGACGACAGTATCTAAAAGAATAAAGCACTTATGGGATCCCTGTGTGGCTCAGCGGTTAGCGCCTGCCTTCAGCCCAGGGCGTGATCCTGGGGTCCCGGGGTCGAGTCCCCTGTCAGGCTCCCTGCTTGGAGCCTGCTTCTCCCTCTGCCTGTATCTCTGCCTCTCTCTGCCTCTGTGTCTCATGAATGAATAAATAAAATCCTAAAAAAAAAAAAAAAGAATAAAGACCTAGGAATTAGCTTAACCACGATGGTGAAAGACTTGGATAATGGAAAGTACAAGACATCGCTGGAAGAAATTAAAGAAGATATAGATAAATGGAAGAGGCATCCCATGTTCATAGACCAGAAGACTTCCGAGTATTAAAAAGTGAACACAACACAACATGGTCTAGAGAGTCAGCAAAATCCCAATCAAGACCTCAGCATAAAATTCCCTAGGTATTTGTGAGCTGGGTTTTTTTCTTTTTCTTTTTCTTTCTTTCTTTCTTTCTTTTTTTTTTTTTTTTTTTTTTTTTTTTTTTTTTGTGAGCTGGTCTAACATTTAAGTGGAAACAAAGAGCAGGGATCCCTGGGTGGCGCAGCGGTTTGGCGCCTGCCTTTGGCCCAGGGCGCGATCCTGGAGACCCGGGATCGAATCCCACATCAGGCTCCCGGTGCATGGAGCCTGCTTCTCCCTCTGCCTGTGTCTCTGCCCCTCTCTCTCTCTCTCTCTCTCTGTGTGTGTGACTGTCAAAAATAAAAAAAAAAAAAATTAAAAAAAAAGAAACAAAGAGCAATGAGCACAGTGAAAACCATCTGCAAAAATCACTCACTTGGAGGATTCACACTAGCTAATTTCAGACTTTAGTGTAAAAGTATACTAATCAACGCTGTGTGGAAAAAGACAGCCCCGTACATCAGTGGAATAGGACACAGTCCACAAGGAGAACCACAAATACGGTCAACTGGCTTTTTATAAAAGCGCAAAAGCAACTCAGTGAATAAAGGATAATCTGCTTAAGTATCGTGCTGCACAACTGGACACCCGTATGAAAACAGTGACTCCGGCCCACATCTTCTGGCTTACCCAAAAATCATCTCAAAATGGATTATGGACCTAAAAGCTTTATTTTATTATGCATTTTTTAAGACTTATTTATTCATTAGAGACATAGAGAGAGAGAGAGAGAGAGAGAGAGGCAGAGACAGGCAGAGGGAGAAGCAGGCTCCATGCCGGGAGCCGACACGGGACTCGATCCCGGGCCTCCAGGAGCACGCCCCAGGCTGCAGGCCACACTAAACCGCTGCGCCACCCGGGCCGCCCTGGGCCTAAAAGCTTTAAAACCATACAGCCTTCACAAGAAAAACAACGGAAGAAAAAATTCGTTATCTGGCGTTAAAGTCCTTAGACCCATCACCAGAAACGCAATCCATCAAAGGAATGATTGATAAATTACGCTCTATCAAAACTGAAAACGCTTCCGCTGTAAGAGATACTGCGGACGGAAGGACGAGACAAGCCAGCGTCTGGGAGAAAATACTTGCAAAGCACAAATCTAATAAAGGACGTTTCCCGATATTTTATTTTAAAGAATGCTCAAAACTCAACAAGGAATGAAACAGGTCAGTAAAAGTGACCCGTGAAAGATTCCTGCAGAGTCTTCAGCAGAAAGCACACGCCGACGGGACGACGCACGCGGGGAGGCGCTCGTGTCGGGTGCACACGGAATCCGCTCGGCTGCCGTTGGGGCCGCGAACATCCTGCGAGCTGAGGGTGCTGGCGGGGACGGTCCTAGCTGCCGGCGTGTGCGCCCGAACACGCTGCAAGGCAGTGCGGCGACTCTCGGCCGTGCAGAGCTCGTGCACCAATGCTGCGCCCCTGCGTTCACCCGAGAGCGGGACACAGGCAGCGTGCGGGGGACCCAGGCGGGCAGCCTGGTCGCCACGAGGGCGGTGACCTCCCGAGGTGTCACCGTGCAGCCACATGTGGAACTACATCGTCGTGCTGAGGACAGAAGTCCCACCAAACCCAAAGAGAAACGGAAAAGAACCGTGTAGTGCGTGAGCCCGTGTAGACAAAGCCCAGGCCGCGCTCAGGGGGCACGGTCAGCGGGCACGCCCGTGACGAAGGCAGCAAGACCGAGCCCTACGAGACTGGGGGGATGGCGGAGGTGCCACCGTCCCGACGGTGGTGATGGTCTCACGGTGTGGACCTAGTCACACCGCACGCTTTCAGCACGTGTTGATTCCACATCAAGCATTTAGGGAAAAACATGCAATGAGCTTGAGTCTCTGTGGCAGGTACACGAGAGGACACGTCACGTCCGCGTGGAGGGGAGCAGCAGGATCAAGGGAGGGGGAGCCAAGAGCAGCCCACGAAGCAGGCTCCGTGCCTGTGAGTCGGGCAGGAGCGTCACCAGCGACTCCTCCTGGGGACACAGCTCCCGCCCCGTTCACCCTGACCCTCAGCACCCCTCACGGCGTGGGATTCCGCGCCCAACAGGGCCGCACCCTAGCCCACGCGCCCGCCCGTATGCCACACATGGATGCGGCAGGTTCTCATGGGTTTGGGGGCCACTGCTCGTCACCCTCCACACGGCAGCGCCCGTGCGACACCCAAATCATAGCCGGGCTGCTGTTTATTTTCATTCTGAAATCAGGAGCGATCAGAGAATAGCAATCTTGGGGCACCGGGGTGGCTCAGGGGTTGAGCGTCTGCCTTCGGCTCAGGGCGTGACCCTGGGGTCCGGGGATCGAGTCCTGCAGGGAGCCTGCTTGTTGCTCTGCCTGGGTGTCTGCCTGTGTCTCTCTGCATCTCTCAGGAATAAATAAATAAAATCTTAAAAAAGAGAGAGAGAGAGAGAGAGAGAGAGAACAGTGATCTTACTGCGGTGCAGTCACAGCCTCAGGTGCTGGTAACAACCCAGCGACTGCTGGCGGTTATCAGCCCCACTCGGAACAGCCGTGGATGGGATCGCCGGCTCCGCAGCGGGGCTCGAACTCACGACCCTGAGATCAAGAGCCAGCCCGCTCCGCCAACGGAGCCTTAAAACTTTGTAAGACAATAGATATGATGTGAACGCGTTTCTCAATTAAGGTTTTGGGCATCTATCTGCGGGCGCAGACGAGCAGACACGCAGGTGCATTCGTGCGCTCAGGTGTGTGGTACAAAGAGAGCGGAAGGGGGCGCCTGGCTGCTCCACCGGGACAGCACGCCACCCTTCATCTCATGGTTGTGAGTTCGAGCCCCACGTCGGGTGTAGACATTACCAAAATAAAATAAAATAAAATAAAATAAAATAAAATAAAAAATAAAATAATAAATAAAATAAAATAATAAAATAAAATAAAATAAAATAAAATAAAATAAAATAAAATAAAATAAAATAAAATAAAATAAAAATCCTGGACGAATGTTCACCAAAATCTTGGCAGTGACCCCTGTACGGTCGGATGACAAGGGACCGGTACTGCCTTCCGTGCTCCCATGTGCACGCTGTCCGTGTAAACCCGGCCGCGCTCACGGCACTTACCGACACAGCGTCCCGGCCGCCGCCACCGCAGACTGCCACCGCGTTCACCCTCTCTCGGCCAGACCTTCCGCCAAGACACAAGAGAAGTCAGACGGCGGCCTGGAGCCCCCGGCGCCACAGGCCGCCCCCCACGCCCCCTGCCAGTCTGTCGGAGGCACACAGCACGACTGCAAACACGGGGGTGCCAAGTAGCTCGTCTGCCACTCGCGTTCTGCAAATGGTTGTCGGCAGAGGGAATGAAGCAACAGCGGCAGACAATGCCAAGGAATTGGGAGCGGCGGCTTAGGAAGGCGCGAGCTCCAGGGGTCCCCGTACTGGGAAGGGAGGAGGGAGGGGTGAATCACACCCCCGCCTCTGCCTGCTGCTAAGTCACCCTGCGGGGCTGGGGCGTCTGAGCCCAGGATACACCTCAGCCTCCCGTCCTTGCTGCGTCTCCCAAGCGCGGATAGCGGAAAATCGAGAAAATGGAACACTTTCAGCTGCAGCCCAGCGCTCGGAGCTGCCTCCCCGCCGGCGTGCACAGCGCATCTGCCCCGGGGCCCGTCTTCCCCTCTTCCCCACGCCCCCCGCAGCCTGATCCCCTTCGCTGCCCGTGGAGCACAAACAGGGGACCCTCGTGCAAGGGCTGCGTGGCCAGCGAGGTCCCCAGAGCGCTCTGCGTACACGAGGCTGCCAGGATCCGGGGCTCACTTGGGGGAACCGTCTGCCCTCGGCAGCGGCCATGAGACACAAGGTCCACAGCAAAGCCCTAAAAAATGCGTTACCTCATTATGAAGCGTTAATCCTCGCGCGGCCCTCCCACGGCCACTGCTGGAGGCCGCCGGGCAGGCTGGCTCGGGGCGCGGGCAGGATGCAGCCGGGATGCGGCCGGGGCCCCCGAGAGGGCGCGTGCGGTGGGGAGCCAGCGCCCGGCCCGGCCCGCACACGCTCGCTGGCGCTTCTCCCCCAGCCACAGGCTCCCCTCTCCCGAGGAGGCAGGGCTTGCGCGCGGGGACCTGCCCGGACCTCACGCCAGGTGGCGTTGCAGGACCACAGCGGGCTCCTGAGCACTCTCGGCCGGCCTGCCCTGCCCACGGGCCTCCGGGTTCCAGAGCCAGCTCCTGGGGGACCCACGACCCGGTGGCATTTCCCCGGACTCCCTCATCCCTGCAGGCCTGGAGCCGGGCGACACGGCAGAGGGCTGGGGGACCCGCCCCGGAACACACACCTCGCGCTGCCTCGCTGCAAGTTTTAATCCCGTCTCTGTTCCATCCACACGGGGACGGGGACGGGGACGGCACCGGGAAGGACGGCCCGTCGGGGCTGAGTTTGCCCGTTTTCCGTGTGCCGAGGGACCAATGTCTCAGCTCGGTCCTGCTCAGCTTGCTCGCGTGACTTGGGGCCGCGCAGACCACAGGCCTGCCCGGTGACACCGTGTCCAGGGTGCCCTAACTGCCCGCAGATAGGAACAGAGGTGCCGCCCGGGCTACAGCCCCCATGGTCCCCGGGTGTCTGCCCTGTGCTACGTGTCACAGTGCGGAGCTTTCACATCCTCTCTCTAAACAGCAGAAAGGCCGCGGCATCCTGCACACACTTAAAAGGGAACGTTTCCACTAAAACTGCTCCTCTGTGAAAAGAAGAACCCCCTCGTGTCAGCGGGCACCCACGTGACCCTCTCAACACCGCGCGCGGACTATAAAGGAGAAGGGCCTGAACCGGAGGTGCGCTCCTTTGGAGCAGCCCTGCTCTCTCTGCCTGGACCCAGCGGACTCTGCAATCATGCTGCACACCACTTACCTGCCACGTGCCGGTCCCCAAACAGGACCTGGGACCCCCAGGGTCACACGCAGGCCAGTACCAGCACAGACTTCTGAACCTCGCCCAGGCCGGAGTCGAACCCCAAGCCGCACCGGGGATGCCCCAAGTCAGCATCCCACGCCCGAGGCAGAGTACAGGAGCCATACCCCCGTAGCAGTGATGGACTCAGACGTGCCAGGAAAAATGAGACTCCTAGGGACTGGCTCGGATCCCCAAGGCAGGGTGTGGGGCCCCCAAGGCAGGGTTCCAGACCCCCAGGGATGGGACAAGATTCCCACGGCAGGGTTCAGGCCTCCCGAGGCTCTGCTCATCCCCCCAAAGCAGGGTCTAGGGCCCCTGGGTCACAGTCCTGGCTATGGAACCCCTGCAGCCAGGTCAGAATCTCCAAGGCAGAGTTGTGGACCCCCATGGCTGGTTCAAAGCCCAGGGCCTGAACCTCTGAGGCCTGAACCCCCGGTGCCTGACCTGGATTACCAACATAGACTTCATGACCCCCCAGGCTAAATTCGGAATCTCTAGGCAGTCCCCACTCCTCAGCCAGGCTCCAGATCCTATCTCAGACTTCAGACCCCCGGGGAATGGTTCAGATGTGAAGCCAGGAAAGTGTCTGGGACCCCTCCAGGGCAGCACTTGCACCCCTTAAGGCAAGGTTCCAGATCCCCGGGGGCTTTCAGACCTGAAAGGCAGGATGTGGGACCCCCTGCTCCACGCAGGGCAGCACTTGGATGGATGTCCAAGGCAGGATGTGGGACCCTTGGGGGAGGATATGAGGACCCCCCAGGGGACCTGCAATAGGAGGATGTATGTACCCTAGGGCAGGATGGGGGACCCCCCCCCACCCAGGGCAGCACTTGGATGGATGTCCAAGGCAGGATGGGATGTGGGACCCCTGGGGGAGGATATGAGAATCCCTTCCCCATGGGACCTGCAGTGCACCGTAGAGCAGGATGGGGGACCCCCCCATCCACCCAGGGCAGCACTTGGATGCCCAAGGCAGGATGTGGGATCCCTGGGGGAGGATATGAGGACCCCCCAGGGGACCTGCAATAGAGGATGTATGCACCCTAGGGCAGGATGGGGGACCCCCTCCACCCAGGGCAGCACTTGGATGGATGTCCAAGGCAGGATGGGATGTGGGACCCCTGGGGGAGGATATGAGAATCCCTTCCCCATGGGACCTGCAGTGCACCGTAGAGCAGGATGGGGGACCCCCCCATCCACCCAGGGCAGCACTTGGATGCCCAAGGCAGGATGTGGGATCCCTGGGGGAGGATATGAGGACCCCCCCAGGGGACCTGCAATAGAGGATGTATGCACCCTAGGGCAGGATGGGGGACCCCCTCCCCCAGGGCAGCACTTGGATGGATGTCCAAGGCAGGATGGGATGTGGGACCCCTGGGGGAGGATATGAGGACCCCCCAGGGGACCTGCTGTGCAGGAGGTACGCACCCTAGAGCAGGATGGGGGACCCCCCCTCCACCAAGGGCAGGACTTGGATGCCCAAGGCAGGATGTGACCCCTGGGGGAGGATATGAGAATCCCTTCCCCATGGGACCTGCAGTGCACCCTAGAGCAGGATGGGGGACCCCCTCCACCCAGGGCAGCACTTGGATGGATGTCCAAGGCAGGATGGGATGTGGGACCCCTGGGGGAGGATATGAGGACCCCCCAGGGGACCTGCAATGGAGGATGTATGCACCCTAGGGCAGGATGGGGGACCCCCCTCCACCCAGGGCAGCACTCGCCCCCCGCGGAGACTCGGGACCCCCGGGGACGGGAAGGGGGCGAGGGGGACGCGTGCGAGGAGCCCCGGGCGGGCCGCACTACCTGGCGCGGGCGTCCGCCGAGAGCCGGCCCCGCGAGCGGAGCTCCGCCTGCCCGCCGCATCCCAAGCCCCGCCCGCCCGCGACCGCGCACCAATCAGGAGGCGGCGGGCACGTGACGCCCGGCGCCCAATGGGGAGTGCGCGGGAGCACGCCCCCGGAGCCCCGCCCCCGCCGCGCGAGCGACCGCGGGATGTGGGCCTTGCGGGCCGCCGTCCGCCCGGGGCCGGGGCTCTGCCGACTGGCTTGCGGCCGCCGGCTTCCGAGAGCCGCGCCGCCGCCGCCGCCGCCGCTGCCGCCGCCCGCCTGCCCGGAGCGCGCACTCGCCGCCTTCGGCCCCGGGGGCGTCAAGGGGCGAGGCGGTGAAGGCCGGGACCGCCGGGACGATGATGGCCCGAGAAGCCGAGCGGGAGAGCAGGAGGAGGAGGACCCAGGTGACGCGGAGCAAGAAGAGGAGGAGGAAGCGCTCCTGAGGACGGAGCCTTTGCTGCCGCTGGGGACCCAGCGCGTGTGCCTGATCCACCCTGAGGTCAAGCGGGGACCCGAGAAGCCGAAGCTGACTCGAGGTGACCCGCTGCGGCGCAGGGGCGGGGGGACGGCGAGGACGCGGGGACGCCAGGCTTCCGGGGGCGGGGCCTGGAGCGGGGGGCGGGGCTTCGATGGCTGAGGGGGCGGGGCCTGGAGCGGGCGAGGCGGGGCTCCGACGGCTGGAGTAGGGGCGGGGCGGGGACTCGGGGCGGGGCCGGGAGCGGGAGGCGGGGCTCTGATGCTGAGGGGGCGGGGCCTGGAGCGGGAGGCGGGCTCTGAGGCTGAGGGGGCGGGGCCGGGAGTAGGAGGCGGGGCTCCGAAGATCACCCTGAAAGCGTCCCCGCCATCCCCCCAAAGCTGCCCTGGGTCGGCTGGAAGCTGCCGACCCCCTGCCCCGGGACCCCCCCTCCCTGGGGCATATAAGGGCTGTGACCTTCCTGCTCCCCATCTCCCCAGGAAGAATCTGACACAACTGTAGAGCCTGTGCACGGCCAGGGGGTGTGTGTGTCAGCGGGTCTGCGAGCGTGTGAGCGTGAGTGTGAGCCGGCATATAGTTTCATCATGTCCCTGAACCCTAAGGTCGCGCCACCGGTGTCACCGTGCACACACGGTACAGCTACAGACCGGCATCGGCCCGCCCTTGCCCTAGCCAGGTCCCGTCCCTGGGGCAGGGGCACCCTCCGCCCTCCCGTGACTCCCCTGACCTAGGCTCGGGGTGCCGCTGGCCCAGGCAGGGAGCCGCCCCCTGGGCCGGGCGACAGGGGGTGGGGACCCCGCAGGGCGGTCCTGGATGCCCTGGGATGACCCAGCGCCACAGTGGGAGGATGCGGAAGGATGAGGTCCTCTGGACAGCATAGACGGCCCCCAGGGACCTCGCCCTGGGGCTGGCTGGCTGCTGGCTGCGGAGGGGGAGGCCGCGGAGAGCCCAGTCCCCGGCCGTGACACAGGCACAGGCCTCGCGTGAGGCCATGGCGCAACCACACTGGCTTTGAGCAGAACAGGGACCCCACAGGGTGGGGGTGCAGTTTATCCTGCCCCTCCCCCCCACATGCCCTCCCCCTCCTGTCCCTCAGCCTCTCCCTCCACCTCTCCTCCCCTCCCCTCTCCTCCCTCCCCCTCTGCCTCTCCTCCCCTACCCATCCCCCTCCCCCTCCTCCCCCTTCCTGCTCCTCCCCTCCCTCTCCTTTCCCTTCACATCCCTTCCCCCCGCCCCTCCTTCAATCCCTCTGCCTCTCCCTCCTCCCCTCCTCCTCCCATCTCCTCCTCGCCTTCCTGCTCCATAGAGACCTTCCCCGAACTCTATGTAATTCTCGGTAACATAGAATTCACCGTTTCGTGGGCAGGTTCAGTAGCATTTAGTACGTCCACGGTGCGGGGCGGCCTCCACCGCTGTGCAGGTTACATTCGTCACCCGGGAAGGAGACCCCGTCCCGCTAATAGCGGCCACTCTCCGCAGCAGGCCTGCCCAGCCCCTCACAGCCCTGAATGTGCTTTGCGTCTCTGTGAACTTGCTTCTTCTGCATGAGCTGTGGAAGTGTTTTGTTCCTTTTTTTCTTTTTTTTTTCTTTTTTTTGCTCGAAGGCTTTGTTTTCATGCAGCTGCAGATTCGCAGAGGATTCCCACATAGGTCATGTCCCACTGCTCAGCATCGTGTGTCATCAGCATCCCCACCACACTGGGAGGCGTGTTCCAGCGCAGGAACCTACATGAACATGCAGCCGCGCCCAGAGGCCGCGGCTTGGTCACCTTTCGCTCTGGGAGTTGGACGTTCTGTGGGTCTGGACAGGGTGCCATGCCGCTCGCCCACCGTACAGGGTCACATAGGGTAGTTCCACGGCCACACCAGTCCGCACTCCACCCCACCCCCACCCCAGCAACGACAGCTCTCTACCATGTGCTTCATCTTGCTTTTTCCAGGATGTCGTAGTTAGACTCGTGCACCGCGCAGCCTTTGCAGACCAACTCGTGCATCTGAGGTTCTTGTGTGACTTTGTGGCTTGACAGCTGACTTGTTCAGTGCTGATGACACTGTCCTCCGCGTGGGCCCCGGTTCCTTTGTCCATCCACCTGCTGGGGACACATGGGTCCTTCCAAGCAGCTGTAAACATCTTTCTGCAGGTTGTGTGGGGACACGTGGTTTCGGTCCACTTGGATGAACCCCAGGGAACGTGACTGCTGTACCCTACGAGCATATTTAGGTTTGTGTTGTTGTTGATGTGGTTTATGGTTTTATTTACCTCAGAGAGAGAGAGCAAGAGACAGAGCTCAAGCGAGAAAAAGGGAGGAGCAGAGTCCCACTGAGCAGGGAGCCCGACACGGGGCTGGACACCAGGGTCGTGACCTGAGCCGAAGGCAGACGCCTCACCTGCTGAGCCACCAGGCGCCCCACGCCTGTGTTAAGTGTTTTAAGAAGCCTCCAAGGTGCTTTCCCAGCGGTGGCACCGCTCTGCGTTCCCGTGAGCAGCCACGGAGACATCGTGGCTGCACGTCCCCGCAGGCCTGCACGTGCTGCATTAGAGCCCGGCTCACGGCTGCGTGCTGGGCTCTCGTTCCAGTTTGCATTTGCCCCCCCGCTGAGCGTGTCTCCTTCCCAGCTTGGCGTGTCCGCAGGTCCTGTGGTGACACCTGTGACAGGTCTCCAGCCCCATTTTCAATCAAGTTCTTCTCTCTTACCGCCGAGCCTCCAGAGTCGTTCATACGTTGTGGAGACTGGTCGTTTCTCAGATGTTTTTTACAAACGTCTCGCTCTGGTCTGTGGCCTGACTCTTCCTTCCGGGTGCGGACGTCTGTCATTGTCACTCGTCCTCGCATCCGCAGGCTTAGAGATTGTGGGCTCAGCCTTAGCGGCCCTCTCCGAAGCCCGTCAGAGGCAGTTTTCACTTCCGTTAGCGTGTTTCTGACCGCTAGCCGGCATCTGTCTTCCGTTCTCTCCTGGCCTGTGCATCTGTCTGCTTACGCCGTGTGTTCTTGTGTGCTCCTTTTTTTTTTTTTTTAAGATTTTATTTATTTTTTCATGAAAGAGAGAGAGGCAGAGGCAGAGGCAGAAGCAGGCTGCCTGCAGGGAGCCCGATGTGGGACTCGATCCCAGGACCTCAGGATCATGCTCCCAACTGCTGAGCCACCCAGGCGTCCCGTCTTGTGTCACGGCCCTTAGCACGTCAATCACAGTCGCTTCAGGTTCCCCATCTGATGAATCCAGCAGCCCTGCCGCTGTCGGACTCTGGTTCTGATGCTGCTCTGTGTCTTCACGTTGCGCGTTTTACTCACGGCGAGCCCTGTGATTCCTGCCTGGTGGGCGGGCATGAGGCGCGGGCCGAGGAGCTGCCGTCCGTGGGCCTGTGGTGCTGTGCTGGTGACGTGCGGGCAGGGAAGCACTCGGTAGCCCCAGTCCCCAGTGCGCCCGTGCCTCTGAGCTGTGGACTGCAGCAGCGTTTCTCGGCGTTGGCTTCCCCCCAGGGGCCGGAGGCCTGGAGTTGAGGGGTCCCATGTGGCATTCTGAGCAGCCCCCAGGTGGCGGCCGGTGGCAGTGGCCTGAAGGCACTTGACCCCAGCAGGAGGTTCTGGGAAGCTGCACCGTGATCCACGATGGAGCTGGGGGACCTGGGCCCCCGCGGAGGTCAGGGCAGACAGCACGGGTGTGGTGTGTCAGTGGGCCACGCGTGACGGTGAAGGAGGGACGTCCGGGTGACCTCGCACACCTGACCTGAGCAGCCACAGGGTGGGGGTGAGAAGGACCAGCTCCGTCCATCAGCAGTGAAAGCTGAGGACACTGTGCCTCCTCTCAGCCCAGAGGATGGGGACCCCGTCCCCCCGGAGCAGAGCCTGGGGCCGCCCCTGGCCTCCAACCCCTGCCGCCCTCTCATGCACATCCCCACCCGGCCTGTTTCCTCCCTGTCCCTGAGCTCGGGGGACGACCGCCCACCGCCGGTGATGATCCTAGAACCTGCTGCGGACCCCCTCCTGTAGGGCCGGCCTTGAGGACCCAGGTGTCATCCCGTGTGCCCTGAGCGGTGCCTCTTCCTGTGCCACATTGGCACCAGGCCCCGGGCATGCCCACTCCTTCCCTCGGGAGCTCATGGCCCACCCTGCGGGGGAAGCGGCGGGTCCTGGGCCCTCGGGGGCTGCCATGCAGGACACACTGTCTGCTGGGTCACAACAGTCCCTGGGGCCTCACTGAGCAGGCGTCCTGTTACGTGCAAGTCCTGGGTCCCACGTAAGGAGGGGCCGTCCTTCCCATCCCTGCCTGTCGTCCCTCCTGCCGGTCTGCGTGGAACAGCACGGCCGTGTGTGGGAACAGGCCTCCCTGGGCCTTCTGGGGCCCTCCGCGCATCGCAGGAGCCTCCCAGCCGAGGGACACAGGCCGGGGCGCGCCGGGCAGGACTGGACAGGGCCCGGCCGACCCCACAGGGACGCCCCCCTCACCCCGGCCCTGTGTGTCCCCACAGCCGAGTGGCAGGTGGCGGAGGCGGAAGCCCTCGTGCACACGCTGGACGGCTGGTCGGTGGTGGAGAGCATGGTGGTGCCCAGCAAATCGCCAAACGGGAAGCTCATCTTTGGCAAAGGGACCTTGGAGCACCTGACGGGTGGGTCCCTGTCCCCATCCCTGTCCCCATCCCTGTCCATCCCCTCCGTTGCTCCCTCCGTCTGCACAGAAGCAGCAGCAGTGGGTGCTCCGTGTGGGTAGCCCTTCGGGGACTCGCATCCGACATGGGAAAGCCACGTGTCCCTCTCAGAACCCACTCTGTGCCCGTTGGTGCCGTCGGGGCAGTTACGACTCGGGTGGGAACCGCCCCGCGGCCCCAGCCCTCCCTCCCTGCAGACACGGTGCTGCAAGGGACCCCGAGGGTCTGCAGCCCCAGCCGCCCTCCAGCGCACGGCAGGAGCAGCGGGCCGCCCCGCAGACGTGCCGCCCGTCCGTGTCACCCCAGCCCTCAGGCCCGTTCAGGCCCCTGAGGCTGCGCCACCTCCATGCGTGTGCAGACCCGCAGCCCTGAAGGCGGCCCCAGTCCCCCCCTCGACCCCTGTCCTGCACACCTGATTCCCCAGCACACACTCAGGGACGGGGGTGTCCCCTGAACATGGCCAGCGGAGCCCCGGGTCGGTTCCACGACAGAGTGCGTGGAGCAGGGGCGTCTGAGGCACTTGCTGTTCTCCTCAGAGAAAATCAGGGGGACTCCAGAGATCACGGCGGTCTTCCTGAACGTGGAGCGGCTGGCCGCGCCTACCAAGGTACTGCGGAGTCCCGTGGTCTCCCCCGGTGTGGGCGGACGGAGCCGGGCCAGCGTCCTGCGGGAACGGGACCGCCGGGCACACGGGATCCCACACGGCGTGCCGCCCGCCCCTGTCGCCGGGCTGCCCTCGCCCATGCCTTCACCCCCGTCTCCCTTTCCAGAAGGAACTGGAGGCTGCCTGGGGCGTGCAGGTGTACGACCGGTTCACGGTGGTGCTTCACATCTTCCGCTGCAACGCGCGGACCAAGGAGGCACGGCTGCAGGTGGCGCTGGCGGAGCTGCCCCTGCTCAGGTAGGGGCCACCGCACTGCCGCTCCTCGCGCTCGTGTCTTGGACGGTCACCTGGGGCGCGGTGGACGCAGAACACGGCCTGGCCCCGGCCTGTAGACCGCGTGGCTCCCACGCTGCGCGCCTGCCAGGGCTCAGCGGCCCACTGTGGCCCCTCAGGTGCCGAAGGCCCTGGCGGGAGGGAAGGCCACCCTGCCTTCTCGTCGCCACCCTCACTTCCGGGTGTTGGCGCCTGCTGTGCTCTCCTAGGCGGGCACGCGTGTGTGCGGCCGCGTGCTGAGATGCCCCCTTGCCACGGCAGGTCCCGCCTCAAAGCCAGCATGGCCCTCCTGGACGGACGAGGACGGGGCTCGCGCTACATCATGGGCTCAGGTAACGTGTGAGCCCCGTAGCACGGGGCACTCCGGACGGAGGCTGTCACGGCAGCCGTCCTCCCCTAGGAAGGGGACAGCGTCGCTGGAAGACCCCCGGGGGGCAGGGGCTGCATGTGGGCCTCGTGTATGGTCATATCCAAACCAGCTACGACGTCTGGGTGCTTTTTGGCGGCAGCAGCTCCTCCTCTGTCTCCTACGAGGACCCCTGTCGTTGATGTAGGGCCACCTCGTGCAGGACGAGCTCATCTCAGAGCCTTGACCAGCTAGGGGCGCCCAGAGCCTACTGTGAAATGAGGTCGCGTTCGCAGGTCCTGGGGTGAGGATGTGCGTGTCTCTCCCAGGGCCCGCTCCGGCGGCCGTGGGTATCACAGGGGCGCTCCTTCCCAGGCTCCCCCTCCCTCCCAGACCCAGGGGAGCCCCGCTGACTTCAGGGCACGAGGCCGCAGGTGCGGCAGCCCTCGTTGGGCAGAGCCACAGTGCAGGTGGGAAGGCGCTGGGGCCGCGGCTGCGTGCAGAGCAGGTCGGGGGGCCCAGCGTGGCGATGCCCGAGCGCCTCCCGCACAGGGAGCCCAGTGGCGCACGGCGCTCTCCGTGCCTCCTGCCACCTGTGCTCACGGCCTCGCCACCTCCGTGTTTCTAGGGGAATCCTTCGTGCAGGTGCAGCAGCGCCTCCTGAAGGACCAGGAAATGAAGATCCGGAAGGCCCTGGAGAGGCTCAGGAACAAGAGGCGTCTCCTGGGGAGGCAGCGCCGGCGGCAGGAGTTCCCCGTCATCTCCGTGGTGGGGTACACCAACTGCGGTGAGCGCGGCTCCGGGAGTGCGACGCCAGGCACCCCGCTGTCGGGCTGCCGTGTCGGGGAAGATCCCGCTGGCTAAGGCCGCGAGACCGGGGACTCGGGTCAGCGCGTGCCGAGCAGAGGCGGCCGGCGTGGCTGGGTCCCAGGGTGTTCCGGCGCCCACGGCCCGCACCCTGCGTGCCCCTCGCGTGGTGCTCGGGTGCTGGACGGCGCACTGGACTCCGCCGCCTCTCGCCGCTGCTCTGTAGACTCAGAGACGAGAGGAAACGTGGTGTCTTGGAGCTCGTGTCCGGTAGATCTGCCTGGACGAATTATAAAGCAGTTCAGGTCGTGTCCAGTAAGACCCCGTGGTGCGTTCGGGGTTCAGGTTCCCGTGCGGGTCACCGTGATTGTGTGCAGGACGCCGAGCGGGGTTTCCTCCGTCCTGAAGCCCTGAGCTCACGGTCACGCTCCCGTAAAGGGAAAGCACGGCAGACTCGCCCCTTCGTGTCGAGGTACACCCGCCATCCCGTGCTGCACTGCTGGAAGCGGCAGTGCACCCGCCTGTGCTCCGAACCCCACGTGAGGTCATCAGCTCCCTGACCTGGGGGGGGGGGATGTCCCCAGAACCGCCCCACCTGAAACAGGAAGCTGTGGGTACTCGTAGGATTTACGAGATCCTGTTTGCAAAGGTGAAGGTTCACGTGTGCTGGGGATGCAGACTCCTCTGTGTGGCTGCGTGGGGGGCGGGGCAGGTGTCAGGGAGGTGTCGGGGGTGAGTCTGGGGTGCATGGGGCAGGGGTGTCGGGGTGTGTCAGGCAGTGACTGGGGCCTTCGGCAGTGGCTGACTGAGGTCACACAGGGTAGGGGCCCCGCTTCCTCCACCATCACCCTGTCTACACGGACACCCACTCCCTCACCGTGTACCCGCCCCACTCCACCATCACCTTCCCCTATGCAGATACTCACTACATCTTAGGCACAAAGCACCGGCCGCATCTATGTGGGCACCAATCACGTATCACTCACATGCAAATACGAGCACCTGTCTACACTGTTGCCTTTGTTGGCGCACGTGCCCAACCCCCCCCAGGTTCACACACATCAGCACCCTGTCTACACCATCACTCTGCTGTGTGTAGGCACTCGCACCCCAGAGCCTGGCCCTCTCGACCCGCGAGCACGACGGGCAGCACCATCCTCCTTTCGACCATACAGGGCATCCCAAGGGTCCTGCTGAGACCTAGGAGCTCAGAGACTTTATGGACCACGGGCACCCCCTCTGCAGAGGCACGTGGATTGGATGTGGCGCCACCCACGGTGCGACAGTAGATAGTAGGACACACGGGAGGGGCCTTTCAGGCAGCATGTCCCCTGGGGCCCACCTTCTAGGAAAAACCACGCTGATCAAGGCCCTGACAGGCGATGATGCGGTGCAGCCCCGGGATCAGCTGTTTGCGACGCTGGACATCACAGCCCATGCTGGGTGGCTGCCCTCCCGCGTGGCCGTCATCTACATGGACACCATCGGCTTTCTCTCCCAGCTGCCCCACAGCCTCATCGAGTCCTTCTCCGCCACCCTGGAAGACGTGGCTCGTTCGGTGAGTGTGGGATGCTCTTACCTAAAAGACCTGCGTTATCTGGGGCTGGTCCTCTCGCACATGACACAGCGTGGAGACTGGATTCCGATTCCAACAGGACGCAGGGACTAGGTCTCCTCACACCTGATACAATGTGGGGGCTCGATGCCTTCACACATGACACGACCCCGGGCCGAGTCCCACACAACGTACCCCGACCAGATTCCCTCACACATGACTGACCCCGGGGACCAGATTCCCTCACACACACTACACCCTGAGACCGATCCCCTCACACATGACGTGACCCCGGGGACCGATCCCCTCACACACCACCCCCTCATGAAGCTAGTGCCTAACCCACCCTGAGCATGAGCCCTTCCTAGTGACCTCTTCCAAGACTAATTCCAGAAGGAGGTGGAGCCGCTGTGCGCACAGGTTTGCGGCGATGTCATTCAAGGGCCCATTCTCTTTGGGCTTCCACCGAGCCCCAGATCTAGTGTCAACACCAGGAAAAACCAGACAGACTCCAACTGGAGGGCGTCCCACAAAATTCCCACCAGCGAGACGTTTAAAACCCGGCAAAAAGCATTCTTTAACATTTGAAATACTCAGAGTCTGAAAGTTTCACAGAAGGTTGAAAGGCCCCCGAAGAACGAGGCCCCCGCGGGGGGAGGTGGGGCTGGACCGGTGCTACGCCTGTGAGCGGGCAGGGGTCTAGCAGGCCCCTGTGGTGCGGGAGCTGCGGGGGACGCCAGGGCCCAGGCCAGGCCCAGGGGAGCAGCCTGGCCAGGGCAGGGCCCGCGCGAGGGCCGCAGGTGGGCCGCCCACCAGCTCTGGTCTCGGGGAGCTCCGGCCCCGGTGCCACCCACCTCACAGGGCCGGGACCCCATGGGAAGCAGCCCACTCCCACCCGGGCCTGCAGTGGCCGTCGGAGCCCCTGTCCGAGGCGGGTCCTCCGCGTGGGGTGCCATCCCTGTGTCCACCATGTGGCTCCCCTGCCCCCCAGGACCTGATCGTCCACGTGAGAGACATGAGCCACCCAGAGACGGAGCTGCAGAAAGCCAGCGTCCTGTCCACGCTGCGCGGCCTGCGCCTGCCCGCCGCCCTCCTGGACTCCGTGCTGGAAGTTCATAACAAGGTGGACCTGGTGCCCGGGTGAGTGCAGCCCGGTGCGCCCACTGCCCACGACCCTGGAGCCCCTGCCCGCTGCTCGTGGCCCCGCCCCAGCTGGTGACAGTGGGCTGCCCTCCTCGGGCACTGGAGGCATCCCCCTGCTTTCGGGAACAGGGGGGGTCAGGGTGCCCTCTGCCACCCGCGGGCCGGGAAGGGCCTCAGTCAGCCGCACACCCGGGGGGGGGCGCGTTGTGAGCCCCTCGCTGCCGCGTCCTGGTGATCTGCTCTGTGCACTCTCCTGGCAGCCACTGGGGCAGTCACACTTGGGGCCCCGAGGGCGGGGGACCCTGGGCGCTCCTCACTCCGTGTTCCCGAGGCTGAACGGGCGCTGCTGGGGGGCTGCTCCCGCAGGTACCGCCCGGCGGGCCCACAGGCCGTCGCCGTGTCCGCCCTCCTGGGGCAGGGGCTCCCGGAGCTGAAAGCGCGGCTGGAGGACGCCGTTCTGAGGGCCACGGGAGACAGGTGCTCACCCTCCGGGTCCGGCTGGCGGGCGCGCAGCTGAGGTGCGTGGGGCCGCCCAGCAGGCGGGACAGTGGCCGGGCAGTGGGTGCGGGTGCGGGGAAGGCAGTGGAGCTGCAAAGCCCCATGAGCAGAGGAGCCCTGGCGGCTGTGGGGTTGTGGGGTTGCCTGCCGCGCACGTGGGTTAGTGACTCCTGTGTGGGCGCCCCTGGGCTGTGGGCGGGACCCGCCAGTGAGGACAGGGTCGCCTGCGGGCTCAGGAACACAGCCCGTGGGGTCCCTACTGAGCGCCCCTTCCCTGCTCTGTCAGCTGGCTGCACCAGGAGGCCACGGTGCAGGACGTGGACGTGATCCCCGAGGCCGGGGTGGCCGACGTCACAGTGGTCATCAGCAGCTCAGCCTACGGCAGATTCCGAAAGCTCTTCCCAGAGTGAGCGGACGCCGCCTCTGGGCCTCCCGCCTGCCCCTCCGGGCTTCCAGGTGGTAGGCTGGCGGCCGCGGCTGGAAGTCGAAGGTCAGGTCGCAGGGGGCTCCGCGGCTCTGGTCCCCGGGGGTCCTGCATCGTGGATCCTGCATCGTGACAGGTGACTTCCCCTCCCCTGGCTTCGGCTACAAGGAACAGGCTCCGCTGTGTCTGCACCGGCGTTTCTGGTTCTCCCGCCCGCGGGCCGGCACGTCCTCCCGGTGTTGGAGTTTCCATCGGCTGTTTCACACTCGCAGCCGCCAGCCCTCGCTCTGCCCCACAGTGTCCTGCGACTCCTGACTGTCCCGCGGCGACCCACGGGCCTCCCTGCTCCAGTGGTGGAGGAAACACGGTTTGTCACTGAGTCGGCACGAAACCGGCAGCGACCTGCTCGCGGGCAGGCCACTCAGACTGGCCCGTGGGAGGGACAGACGCGGCCCGTCACGGACCTGGGCTGTCGTCACCCAAGGTCCCAGGACACACCCGGGGGTGCAGAACTGGCCATGCCAGCTCTTCTGCTTTAATTTTGCTTTGTTTGTAAAGACTATTTGAGAGACGGAGGGGGTGGGAGTGACAGAGGGAGCGACAGAGGGACAGACGGAGGGGCTGAGGGGGAAGCAGACCCCCACTGAGCATGTGGGACTTGATACCAGGACCCCAGGATCCTGACCCGAGGTGAAGGCACACGCTTCATGGACGGAGCCCCCCGGGCGCCCCGGTCCTCATTCAGGTGCCCCCGGTCCTTCTGCTTTCCAAGACACTCGTTCGCACCTCAGGGAGCCCACTAGACCCACGCGGTTGCCCGTTTTCTAGAGGAAATGCCGACGTGAGGGGTCCCTTGCAGCCATGGATAACGTCTCACCTCATTTCCCCCCTTCGATTTGTGCTCATCCTTCCAGTGGGGTTTTTTGAGTGACTCTGGAATTCGGCATTCAGGAATAAATCTCTGCGCTGCTTCAGGGCGTGCACGAGGGTGTGTCTTTTCTAAAGACAGAGCGTTCTCAGGTCGCGTGAGACTTGTCCACACACACGGCCCTACGGGCCTCGCGCCACCTCTGGGTCCTTCCCCAAGTGCTCCTGCCACTGGCCTTCCACAACTCTGCTGTCCTGTGGGAGGTCAGATTCGGAAGGTGTCCTTGAATAATACTGTCCCCACACGCACATGTCCTGGCCCCCATGCAGCGGACGGAATAGTGTCCCCAAGGATGTCCCCGTCCGGACCCCCTGCTCCTGTCAAGGAAGATGCTGCTTACATGGCAGAGAGGACTTTGCAGAGGGGACGGGGTTAAGGACCCTGACGTGGCGATGGCCCTGGTGATCCGCGGGCCCAAGGCCGCCACACGTGTCCCAGTGACGGGGAGGCGGGGGCTCAGACTCCTGAGGTGTGAGGTCAGAGCAGAGGTTGCATCAGAACCTGCGGTGGGCTCGGCTGGCATCCAGGATGGAGGGAGGCAGGAAGCCGGGAGGGTGGAAAACGGAGCACGGTCCCGCCAGCAGCTCCTGAGACACGCAGGCCCTGGCTTTGGCCCAGGGACCCATCACCCTCCTGCCTTCCAGAAACCTGAAGAGAATAAATCCGGGGGATCCCCGCGGCTCAGCGGGTAAGTGCTTGCCTTGGGCCCAGGGCGTGACCCCGGGTCCCGGGATCAAATCCCACGTTGGGCTCCTCCTGGGGCCCTGCTTCTCCCTCTGCCCGGGTCTCGGCCTCTCTCTCGGGCGGGGGCAGGGGCCCGGAGCAGCTGGAGCAGTGGGGCGGCGCAGCAGGCCGGGAGCCCCACCAACCTTCCTGGTCCCCCAGGTCAGCCCCCAGGGGTTCGCCCCAGGGGTCTCAGGACACGGTGGGGTCACGGAGCGTCCTGCGTGGGCCGCCCCCACCCAAGGCCCTGCCCCATCCCCCCGGCACTGCAGGTGCAGCACCCTCAGCCGGGTGCTCTGTGGGCACTGTGCTAGGGCCGCCCTCCTCCTCCCAGGCCCCTGTGTGCGCTCTGGCCACCCCCGTGTGGGACACACCGGGGTGGGGTGCGGGGGGCAGGCCTTGGGGGGCTCCCTTTCCTCCCGCACCTGCCGCTGTTCCGGGCGTGCCCCCCTGAGGCCTGTGGACTGCAGGGTCCTGACACCTACTGCACGTGCCCAGCAGAGCGGGGGCTCATCTTGGGGGCCTGGGCTCAGGCGGGGACCTTCGGCGGCTCAGGTGGGGGCCAAGAGCTTCAGGGCACTGGGGGGGAGTGGGAGGGGACTCCAGGGGCCTGCGGGATACAGAGACACCATGGCCCAATGGTCCTTCACTCAGTCAATGACGAGCTGAACCATGCCACCTCCTCCCCCACGGGCTGGTGGGCCACTCGTGCAGCCTCCACGACGCCCGATGCCCAGATCCTCTGCGGGTGACCCTCAAATACAAGCTCCTCTATGAGTAAGTACCGGGGGGTGGGGGTGGCTAGCAGGCTCCGTGGAGTGTGTGACGCCTGATTTCCCGGTGAGGTTCGAGCCTCGCCTTGCTGTGGAGTGTACTTAAAAGTAAAATCTTCACCAAAAAAAAGCAAAAATTAGGTGTGTGGTCTTTCCTTCACATGTCTGCGCTGACGGGCTTCCAGTACCACAGAACTGGGAGGTTTCAGCCACATGGTGCAGCATCTGCCTTCGGCTCAGGTCATGACCCCGGGCTCGGGGATCCAGGCCCGCCCCCCCTCCCCCAGTCTGCCTCTGGTTCGGCCCCTGCCCAGTCGTGCTGTCACCCTGTCAATCACATAAATAACAACTTTAAAAAAATGTTTCATCTGGTCTTTCTTTTTAAAAATATTTTATTTATTTATTCATAAGAGAGACAGCGAGAGAGAGACAGAGAGACAGAGGGAGAAGCAGGCTCCACGCAGGGAGCCCGAGGTGGGACTTGATCCCAGGACCCTGGGGTCACGCCCTGGGCAGAAGGAGGACACTAAAGCAGAGCCACCCGGGGGTCCCCTCATCCAGTGTTTTAATTAACAATAAAGTGGCCGACAGTGATTTCTGAACAAAGTGCATGACCCGGAGAAAGTGCTGGGCCAACGGGGGGCTTGTACACCCCCCCCCGGGGCGCATTTCCGAGGTGCCTCAGCCCGAAGAAAAACGTAATTATTCACGTTTCCCAAGCGAAGGGGGTGCACCCACCTCCGGGGCCACAGGGAAAGCCCGTTTTGGGGCAAGCAGCAGAAAGTCGCTTGAGCCCCGAGTTTCCGTGGACAAGGCGCGTCGGCACAGCGCACACGGGTGAGGGCCGTGCGGCGACCTGGGGGCGGCGGCTGGGGCCCCAGGCACCCGCCCACGGGGCGCCCCCGCCACCCGGTCCCGCGTGTTTGTGGCCGCCCAGCCGCGAGCGGCCGCCCGCCCCGCCTTGCCAGCCCCGGGCCTTAGCTCGAGCGTCCGCGTCGCGCTTCGGCGGTTCCCGCCCACGTGCGTCCCGGGGCCGTATTCGCCGCGTCCCCGCGGGGCTCCGGGCACCACGCGCGCTGAGCGTTCGGTCGGGGTCGGGGTCGGCGGAAGCTCGTTCTGCTGAGGGCGCGCGGGTCTCGCGGGGACCGAACTGCTCGCCCGCTGCTGCAGCCTGAACCTCTCGTTCCTTCGCACTCGGGAACGGAAGGTTCGGGGACTCGCGCCCTGCGGCTCCACACGGCGGGCCCGCGGGGCGCTGCTCAGGGGCCGCCCGGCTGCGTGGGAGACGGTGCTCGCTCCCGGGGACCTTGTCCGCGTGGGCGTCGGCAACGCGGTCGGGGCGTGTCCGCGGGCGTGCGGGGCCCAACGGGCGTGGGGGCGCAGCGAGCAGGGAGGCCGCGTCCTCGGCCCTGCGAGAGACGGGCACGCGCCGACGGACGGACGGACGGATGGACGGACGCCCAGAGCTGGGGGGGCGGGGGACGCGGTCGCCCCTCACGGGTGTCCCCGCCGCGCACGGGCCAGCGGGCAGCGGGCGGGAGGCCTCCGGGACGGGGCGGCGGGGGCTGCGCTCCCTCCGGCGGCCCGCGACGGCCCCGCGGCCCCAGGGAGCCCAGCGCGGCCCCAGGGAGCCCAGCGCGGCGGGCAGCACAGGCCCCACGGCCCCGGAGCGGGCGCTGCTCTCCCCGCTGCACGGCCTCCCCCGTGGGACCGCACCCGACTGTCCCGCGACCACGGGCGCCGCCGGCTGCCGCTCTCCGAGGCCCAGCACAGGCGACACCCGCGGCCACCCCACGGTCCCCTCGGCAGGCGCGCTCCGCCCGCCGGGGCCGCCGCCAGCCGGGGACGCCCACGGGCCGTGAGGCGGGCGCCCGAGGCCGGCGCAGGACGGGACGCCGCAGGCAGGACGACGCGTCAGCGGCGCAGCAGCTTCGCGTTGAGCCCGACGACGTCGCCCACGAACGAGTCCGCCCCGACGAAGTCTCCCGCGATGACGTTGGTGCAGCGCGCACCCGGCCCGGGGCACTGCTCCCGCACCCACGCGCGCAGGCACGGCAGGCGGGGCAGCGTCATCTTCCGCAGGGACTCGCACGGGTGGCCGAGCACATACGCCAGGTTCTCCGTCAGGTTGATGCCCGCCACGAACAGCCCGCCTGCAACGGGAGGACACGGGCGCTGCGGGGCCGCCTCGGCTGCCCGCCGCCGCCGCTCCGCCCACCCGTCCCCGCGGGCTCGGGCTCCCTGCAGCGCGACTCCCAGCAGCGCAGGAAGCACGCGCGTCCGCGTCAGGCCGGCTCTCCCGCCACCCCACAGCCGCCCAGAGTCACGTCCCGACCGGACCCCGCGTGGTGGGCGGAGCCGCGTCCCCAGGGTCGTCCCGTCCCGACCCCGCGTGGTGGGCAGACTCATGCCCCAGGGTCATCCCCGTCGTGACCCCGCGTGGTGGGCGGGGTCATGCCCCAGGGTCATCCCCGTCCTGACCCCGCGTGGTGGGCAGACTCATGCCCCAGGGTCATCCCCGTCCCGACCCCCATGTGGTGGGCAGACTCATGCCCCAGGGTCATCCCCGTCCTGACCCCCATGTGGTGGGCAGACTCATGCCCCAGGATCATCCCCGTCCTGACCCCCACGTGGTGGGCGGAGTCGCGTCCCCAGGGTCATCCCCGTCCTGACCCCACGTGGTGGGCGCAGTCATGCCCCAGGGTCATCCCCGTCCTGACCCCCACGTGGTGGGCAGACTCATGCCCCAGGGTCATCCCCGTCCTGACCCCGCGTGGTGGGCGGAGCCGCGTCCCCAGGGTCATCCCCGTCCTGACCCCACGTGGTGGGCGCAGTCATGCCCCAGGGTCATCCCCGTCCTGACCCCCACGTGGTGGGCGCAGTCATGCCCCAGGGTCATCCCCGTCCTGACCCCACGTGGTGGGCGGAGTCGCGTCCCCAGGGTCATCCCCGTCCTGACCCCCACGTGGTGGGCGGGGTCCCACCGTAAGGAGAGGAGGCACGGGCGGATTGGAACACGGAGGGGACGTCCTGTGTGACGGCCGAATCAGGAGGGGCCACAGGACACGGTGCTCCCCGGGGCCTGCACAGGCCGCCGGCCTTGCCAACGCCCTGGCTTTGGTGGGACCCACGCAGCTTACACTTCCACCCTGAACCCTGGCTCGTGTCCACCCGGAGCACGTGACAACACGGTGGGCGCCGCACAGCGAGGGCCCAGGCTCAGCCGGGGTCGGGGCAGAACCGTGCCGCAGTCGCAACCCTCAGGTTTCAGCCACGTGCGCCTGCTCCCCAGCATGCATCAAAGCTGCGCCCCACAACGGACCCCAAACAAGCAAAGAAGCCGGAGGCCAGGACAGCGGCGGGGGGAAAACCCGGCAGCCTTCCATGGAGGAGCGCCCGGAGTGGCGCCGCAAGCACCGGCAAAGCTCGCCGCGGGCACCGCCTCCGCCACGGTGTCTGCGGTGGCCGCTCAGCTGGCGCCGCCCGCCCTGTCGCTTTCAGACATTGTCATCGGGACGCGGGGGGCTCAGCGCTGGGGCATCTGCCTTCGGCCCGGGGCGGGACCCCGGGTCCGGGATCGAGTCCCGCGTCGGGCACCCCGCGGGGAGCCTGCTTCTCCCTCTGCCTGGTCTCTGCCTCTCTCCGGCTCTTGTGAATAAATGGATAAAATCTTAAAAAGAAAAAATCATCCTGGAAGGCGGCTGCTCAGGGAACCGCCCGCCGTGCCGGGTGGGACACAGGACGGCGCCGCATCCCCGCGACTGGCGCATCACATGAGGCAGAGCGCAGGCCCGGAGCCCCGTGGGCACCGGCAGAGCCACGCACCCTGCACCCACGCACCCACGCGCCCACGCACGTGAAGTGCTACCCGCAGACCGCACACGCGGGAAGTCCCCCACCTTGGAGCCGGGGCCCACAAAGCCTAGACGCCCAGCACAGCTGCAAAGCGGGGATGCCCGTAGCACGTGTGCCAGGAAACGGCTGGTTTCTTTACCGAAGCAGCACAAGCCCTCAGGGCACGGGGACAGCCTGGGCGGGGGTGGACACCACGTGCCGCCGGAATCGATGCCACGTGTGAGTACACGTACGTTCACGAGCATAGGGGTCACGTGGATATGTGCGTGTCTGTCTATGCTCACCTGTGCGTGGGCCTGCGTGCACACATACACGCGTGTGCACGCCCATACGTGACTTCATACCTACGTGTACACGCACAGGAGATTCCCGAGGCCTACACCCCTCTCCTAAACGCGGAAGCGACCCTGTGAGTGGCAGCGCGGGTGACGGGGCAGGGTGGCATCTGCCGTGTGGCCGCGCATGGCTCACCTGGGCGGCCGCAGCTCTTCATGCGCTCGAGGTAGCGGATGAGCTCCTGAGCCTTCACCTGGTCGCCCCACCAGTACGGGATCCCGGGCCACAGCTCCGCGTGGCGGCTCACGACGCTCGCCTCCTCGTAGGACACGATGACCTGCTGGCCGCGCGCCCACAGCTGCCTCAGGGTGGGCACCTCCTGGAGGGACAGGGGGGCGGGGCACGTGAGGGACCCCGAGGGGGGGGCGGGGCGCGTGAGGGACCCCGAGGGGGGCGGGGCACGTGAGGGACCCCGGGGGGGGGGCGGGGCACGTGAGGGACCCCGGGGGAGGGGCGGGGCGCGTGAGGGACCCCGAGGGGGGCGGGGCACGTGAGGGACCCCGGTGGGGGCGGGGCGCGTGAGGGACCCCTGGGCGGGGCGTGGCGCGTGAGGGACCCCGGGGGGCGGGGGGCGGGGCGCGTGAGGGACCCCGAGGGGGGGGCAGGGCGCGTGAGGGACCCCGGGGGGGCGGGGCGCGTGAGGGACCCCGAGGGGGGGGCGGGGCGCGTGAGGGACCCCAGGGCGGGGCGGGGCGTGTGAGGGACCCCGAGGGGGGCAGGGCACGTGAGGGACCCCGGGGGGGGCGTGGCGCGTGAGGGACCCCGGGGGGTGGGGGGCGGGGCGCGTGAGGGACCCCGGGGGGGGCGGGGCGCGTGAGGACCCCGAGGGGGGGGCGGGGCACGTGAGGGACCCCGGGGGGGGGGGCGGGGCACGTGAGGGACCCCGGGGAGGGGCGGGGCGCGTGAGGGACCCCGAGGGGGGCGGGGCACGTGAGGGACCCCGGGGGGGGGGGGGGCGGGGCGCGTGAGGGACCCCTGGGCGGGGCGTGGCGCGTGAGGGACCTCGGGGGCGGGGGCGGGGCGCGTGAGGGACCCCGAGGGGGGGGCAGGGCGCGTGAGGGACCCCGGGGGGGGCGGGGCGCGTGAGGGACCCCGAGGGGGGGCGGGGCGCGTGAGGGACCCCAGGGCGGGGCGGGGCGTGTGAGGGACCCCGAGGGGGGCAGGGCACGTGAGGGACCCCGGGGGGGGCGTGGCGCGTGAGGGACCCCGGGGGGTGGGGGCGGGGCGCGTGAGGGACCCCGGGGGGGGCGGGGCGCGTGAGGGACCCCGAGGGGGGGGCGGGGCGCGTGAGGGACCCCGGGGCGCGTGAGGGACCCCGAGGGGGGCAGGGCACGTGAGGGACCCCGGGGGGGGGGCGGGGCGCGTGAGGGACCCCGAGGCGGAGGGCGGGGCGCTGAGGGGGTGATGCGTCATTGTTGGGGAGCTTTACTGCTGCAAGCTGGGCAGTGCTGTCGGGGTGAGCGAGGCCAGGGCCGCCTGCCCGAGACACTGTGGCTCTGCAGGATTAGGGGCTCGGGCACTAGTCCCATCGCCCGCCCCCTGAGCCCACGCTGAGCCCTGTGACAACTGGCAGAGCGACGGGCACAGGGAAGGTCACTGTCACTCCGTGATTCCCTGCCCAAGGAGCGCGTCTCCTCCTCGCGGCCTGAACCTCGACTCCCACCTGCTCTGTCTCCCTCTGAGGTCCCCGCCGGAGACTCATGACGCGGCGTGTCCCGGGGCAGCGTCTCCGCCACGAGGCCCCCGGGTCCCCGAGCACCCGCCCCGGGGTCTCGGCGGCCCTATCCCGGCGCTGGCCCAGAGGACGAGGCCCGCGGGGCTTCCTCCCCGCTACAGGGGAGGAACCCAGAGGTGCAAACTGGACCCAGGATGGACCTGCGGGCAGTGTTTGGGGTTCCTGAGCATTAAGGGAGGCCTTTCTCCTGCCGACCCCCAGGACATGACTCTCTGGAGGTGGGGTCTTTAAGGGGATACCAAAGATTCCAATGAGGTCGGGAGGGTAGGCCCTGACCCCGTAGCCTGGGGTCCTTCCGGGAAGAGGCCATGGGGACACAGACACGCACAGAACCACGCGAGGATGCGGGAGAGGCCACAGGGCCACCGGCCCCCTCAGCAGCTGCCAGCTGCCGCATCGCATGTGGCAGGGGCTGCGGGCACATGCAGCGTGCTCGGGGCATCGAGTCACCAAGGCGACCTGGAAGCAGGCGCTACAGGTCACCAAGGTGCCAGAGAAGCAGCCTGCACTGTCCCACCAGCGCACGTGCCGCCACCGGGCTGCCCCTTGCCGGGAGGGCAGGGTCCTCGTCCTTCGGGGCTTCTGCGGACACACGAGCACCTCACCCGCCCCACCCCGCCTGAGCATCGCGCTCAGCACGACCAAGCGAACAGGGAAGTCTCCTGTCATGATCCTGCCTCTCCAGCCCCGCCACGGGGCTTCTTACCCCTCGGGGACACAGCATGTCCCCAAAGATGTTCTTGATGCAGGCCACCAGGTACTCATGCAGGTCCTCCGTCATGCCCTCGAAGTTCCTGCACGCCAGGATGACGACCTCCCGGGGGTGGCTCTCCAGCCACTCTGAGATCTCCGTGAGCGTGTCCTGCGCAGGGGAGGGGGCTCATTCAGACCGTCCCCAGAGAGGCCAGGGGTTAGGGACGCACCGGCCGCTCCAAGGGGCTTCTCCAAACAGAGCTCCTGGACAGATGGCCCAGGTCCTGCACCAACAGACACCCCTCAGACGCAGCCGCGCCGAAGCCACATGCTCCGGGGCACGAGCATCCACCTGCTGCACTTGTGCATGCGTGTGACCAAGTGTGTGCATGCTCACGCTAGAGGGCACCGCGTGTGCAAGAGCCAGGCCGCATCAACATCCCATAAGGGGCGTGCGGAGTGAGGTCCCGGGATGGTCTCCCGGCCCCAAACGCCCTGAGGCCTCGCTGGGGGACACGGGGTGCCCAGGGCAGGCATGAACGTGACGGGGACGCCTCATATTGACTTCAGAGTGCCCCGCGCAGCGCCTGGAGGGGACTGGAGCGCCTTGAACCAGGCGGGAAGACAGGGCGCCCCACGTCTGCAGAATCTGGGAGGCCCGGGGGTGTGGGTGCCGGGTCACACGTGCACCCTGCCCAAGAGTTCTGGAGGCCGGCCTTCTCCCATCCGGAGCGGACACGGGTGTGGTCGGGGAGGCCCCCCAGCCGTCCGCCCTCGCACACGCACCTCCACCAGCACGGTCGTGTACACCATGTGCACGAAGTGTAGGTTCTTCTCAGAGCCAACGAGCATGTGCGCGATCCGCAGGTCCAGGTACCGCACCCCCGTGTCCAGCTGCTCCGTGACGTTCAGCACCTGTGCACAAAGGTCCTCGTCTCTGCTGGGGGCCGTGTGGCCCCCACCTCGGCTGGCTCACTGCCCCCGTATCGGGGCTCGGAGTTGGTGTGGAGATGCCCACACGTGGGCCTGCATTTGATGTGGAGTGGGTAGGTATTGACGCCTGCCTGGGCTCGGGACGCCGCTGGGGCCACGCATTTGGGAACGTGCTTCCTGGCGACACTGGGCACATCCAGCCCCAGATGGAGGCTGCAAGGTCCCATCCTGCGGTAAACGGCCCCTCGGCCCTATACCGGCCTCTGGACCTCCCTGCTGGGCCCTGTCTCCCCCTCTTCCAGGGCAGCCACCAGGAAGGACCCTGTCTGGGTGCCTGGCTCCAGGGAGCCTCGCTGCGACCCTGTGGGGGGGGAGAGGGGAGAGCAGGATGCTCCAGGAGAGTCACATATCCTGAGCACTGTCCCCACCCCACCACCAGCACTAGGACTGGCAGGAAGGGGTCCGCAGAGCGTAAATGGGACGGCTGGACCCTTGCAGGCAACACCATAATGGAAAAAGCAGGAATTTACAGGAGAGTCATACCTATACCCTGGGTAGCCGCACGGGGAGCTCGCACCCCTCCTGCTGGTCCTCCATTGACAGCTGGGGGGGCGTGGCAGAGAGGCCTGTGTGCACGGGGGCCGCACCCCAGCGCCTGCACACGCACAGTCCGTGCTGACCCACCAGCCCTGTCGCCAGCATCCCCACACACCCGCGTACACAATGTGGACCTCTCGTGGCCCACGTCACAGTGGGCCTGGTGCTAAGGGTCCCCAGCACTGCGGGCCCCCAGGACCCCATGACCTAGCACTACAGGTAGGCCGCACTGAACCGGCTCATCTCTCTCGCAGGGCTGGGGTGTCGCAGGAGGCGGGAATGCGGTCTTTCCACATTCCAGGCCCTCCTAACCCCGAGGGACTGGAGTTCCAGGAAGAGCAATTGGGAAGGACAGAGCCGGAGCTGGGGCCCGCCACCACAGAGTCTCCAGCACCGCGTGGGAGACCTGAGCACACAGACCCCGACCCTGAGGGGCCTAACCCTGAGGGCCGGGCTGCTCCCCAGGGGGGCCCTGCGGGGGAGTCAGCACCTGGGCCCAGGCCAGCACCCCCACCATACAGGCTGTCTAAAGCCTTGCAGGGCGCAGCCCCACTGCAGCTGGGTGCCCCCCACATGGACGGCCCATGTCACCCTGACCTTCCTTTGCATATCCCCATGAGAACTCCCCCCGAGCACCCAGACCTTCCTGTGCATGCCCCCCATGAGGACCCCCCAAGTCACCCTGACCTTCCTCTGCACATCCCCCATGAGGAACCCACAGGTCACCCTGACCTTCCTCTGCACATCCCCCATGAGGACCCCCGGGTCACCCTGACCTTCCTCTGCACATCCCCCATGAGGACCCCCGGGTCACCCTGACCTTCCTCTGCACATCCCCCATGAGGACCCCCGGGTCACCCTGACCTTCCTCTGCACATCCCCCATGAGGACTCCACAGGTAACTGCACAGCAGTTACCCCCCCCCCCCCGCCACAGTCACTGTGACTCTCCCTACACACCTGGTGGCCCCCCGGAGAGAAGGGACCAGCAGGAGGAGGGAGCAAACCCCAGTCGGTAAGGACGGGCTCTTCCCTCCTGGGCGTGAGGGTGAGGACGGGTTGGCTGCGCCCGCCTCCTCCGCGGCATTTACTGAATAAACCCATCGTTGCGGGTCCTTTCTCTTGCTTTGCACGTGGGTGCACGTCTGCAACAGGCCTCTTCACACGTGCACAGCTCGGGGGTGTGGTTTCTCGCGACCTGGCGGCTCTGAAAGGTGACCCGGAGGGAGGACACAGCGCCGGCCTCCGCAGGGAGGACGGGCCTCGAGCCCCGGCTGCCTCCACAGGCAGACCGCCAGGTCTCACAGGCAGGGCCCTGGGGTGCTGTGTGTGCGGGGTGGGCCCGGGGCCGGGCTCAGAGCCCCCGCACACACACAGGGGTGAGGGCGCCTGCCCAGCCGGAGGACAGCGGTCGGGCCTGCTGCTGAGCCTACCTGGGTGGTGGACCACTTGAGCACCAGGGGGCGGTGACACACGGCAGCACCTTGTCCAGAAGCTGCAGCAGCCGGGACTGGGTGTGGGAAATGGGCGAGTTCTTGTTCAGGCAGTAGGTCATGGTGTCGTGGCTCCCTGCAAGCAGACCCGAGGGGACGTCTCACCCGGGAGCCTCTTCCTGAGCCGTGTGGTGCGACCTGCACGTGCACAGCACGCCCAGCCCTTGGCGTGGGCCGTGGCCCTGCACACACGCCCACCCGGATCCTGTGGACGGGGCCTGGGTATGTGGAGCCTCATCCAGGACCAGGGGAACCCAAACTCCGGGGCCTCGTGTCCCTATAAGCAGCAGACAAGGAGACACAGACACACACGGCAGAAGCCACAAGACAGGCGTCCCCATCCCCGGGAGGGGAAAACCAGAGGTCACTGCCAGGTCAGCCCTGTGCAAACCATGTCGTCGCCCCACACGCCCAGGACGTGCTCCCCTGACCGGGAAGAAACACCCTCACATTCATACACACTAAAAAACCTGAGGGTTTTCCAGAAAATTTCAAAAAACAAGAGGAAAAAAGGGGGATTTTTTTCTATGAGGTGCTAAAGTACGTGTGCTACGCGTGGACGTGCTGCGTGCAAAACTAAGCCTGCCACGATCGCTCAGACGTGGTGTCGCAGACCGCAGACTCGGATTGCAATACTGCGTTCACACCGGGGCGCGTGGTACGGACCTGAGGGACTGTCAGCAGGCGCCCTGGTCAGCGGGCCACGCGGGAACGGTACACATCCGGGGCCCTGGGGCCTGTTCCCCGCCCAATGCGCCCCGCGGTGCTTGCAGATCGGGGTGACCAAGGAAGGCATACAGCCCTCTGGGCCACGTGGTCAGCGTCGCTGAGGGTGGCCCTAACCCGAGACCTGTGCAGGACAGACCGACAGACCCAACTTCCCAAAGAAAAGCTGACCTTCCCTTGGGGCGCCTGCGTGGCTCAGCGGCTTGAGCATCCGCCTCTTGATTTCGGCTCCGGTCACGGTCTCAGGGTCATGAGCTCGAGCCCCGTGTGGGGCTCCCTGCCCAGGGCAAGTCTGCTTGAGGTTCTCTCTCCGTCTGCCCCTCCCTCCCCCCCCCCCACTGTCTCTCAAATAAACACATATTTCTGTTTGTTTTCCCAGGACCTGGGCAGCTCTGAATGCGACCCGGAAGGAGAACACGCTGCTGGCCTCCCCAGTGAGGGGGAAAAAATGGACTTTTCCTTGATGTGGAAACTTAAAAGATAGAAATGACACAGTATCAGATGCTGTGGGTGTCCCTGTGGTCAGTGGACTAATGTCCTAAAGGTGTCCCCGGGACACACATGTCCAAACGCCACACGGCGGACAGAATGTGAAATCCAACCTCCCCCTAGCTCGGGAGACCCGACATCTGAGCTCCGGCGGGGCAGGACCCTTGAGATCCAGGGGCTCTGGGGAGGGTTCCTCCTGCCTCTTCAGGAGTCTGGGGCCCCAGGCGTCCCCGGGCTAGAGGCCACATCCCCCCCGTCTCTGCCTCCGTCCTCACGGGGCTCCTCCTCTGCGTCTGTGTCTCCTCCTCTGTCTCTTACAAGGACCCCTGTCGTTGGACGTAGGGCCACCTGGTCCAGGACGAGCTCAGCTCAGATCTGTGCTCAGCGGGGAGTCTGCTTGGGATTCTCTGTCTCCCTCTGCCTATGCCCCCCGCCCTCTAAGATAAATAAATAAATTTTTAATAAAAGTGATAAAGTTCCCAAAGAAAGACACAGCTGTATGTGAAAATGTGAATAAATCTCAAAAACTGTAAACATGTATCCAGGTGAGAAATCTGCCTATTTCTGCAGGAGGAATTCCAGATCCTGCACGTCCACAGACGTGGACACACGTGGTGTGATCCACTACACGCTTCTTTTCTGCAAAAACCGAAGGCTGCAGCACCCACATGCTCATCAGTGTGGGCCTGTAGCCACTGGTCCTGGGGCCACCGGAGCCACAAGGGCCTGACTCAGGGCCGCCAGGTCCTTGGACCGGAAAGTCCCCAGAGCTCAGTGTGACCTCCTTGTGGGTCGACCTCTGGACCCTCCAGGCCCCAAGTGCAGAGGACACTGAGCTCGTGGCTGACGGGGCATGAGGGATGCAGCCACAAGAAGCCAGCAGGTTCCCTACACGAGTGACAGGCTGGCAGGGGGGCGTGATCCCGAATCCCTATGCTGTCAGGTTCCCGCGGAGCCACGTGCCCCGGGGATGTGCAGGTGCCTGCCAGGCTTGCATCATAACAAAGGAGATGGAGAAGAGAAGACACTCACATGGTGTGTGTGTGTGCACGTGTGCTCGAGTGTGCATGTGTACACGTGTGTACATGTTTATGTGTGCCTGTACTATGTGTGTGCATGTGTGTGTGGATCGGTGCCTGCATTGTGTGTGTCCGTGTGTGTATGTGCCATGTACTGTGTACATGGATCTGTGTACACACCTGTGTTGTGGGTGTGCATGTGTGTATGTGCCTGTATTGTGTGCACACATGTGCATGTGCATCTGTGCCTGCATCGTGTGTGTCTGTGTGTGTATGTGCCTGTATCATGTACATGGATCTGTGTATGCACCTGTGTTGTGGGTGTGCATGTGTGTTATGTGCCTGTATTATGTGTGTGTCTGTGTGTATATGTGCCTGTACCATGTGCATGCCTGTGTGCATGCACACCTGTCTCCCTATATTGTGCGTATCCATGTGTGCACTTTGCGTGCTTTCCTGCACACCCAGACCATCCCCCGCCGGCAGCGTCCCAGCAGGGGACACAGAGGCCCTCACCTGGGATGGACAGGTGGTGCAGGGGCACATCCCAGAGCAGGGGGCACAGCGCCGACATCCAGTCTGCATTTGTGGTGCATGGCAGGCTCTGGAAGCTGCCGGAAGCGCTCAGCTGTCCGCCCATCGGGGCCACCCTGCGTGACCTGAGGACGGAAGGGAAGGTTTGCAGACATAAACCAAGGGGACCCAGAGCTGCCTCCAGAGCAGCCCCTGCTCCCGTCATGCTAATCCCCCCCACTCCCTTCCCGGGTCTGTGGGGGCAGGTCCTCCATCCGGGGGGGACGCCTTGAGGGCCCAGGTCAGCACCCCACACTCTGTCTCCCTCTGATAGGGTGCAGGGAATGTGGTGCGTGGAGTCCCAGACAGGGCCCCACTGAAGCCCACACAGTCCCCCGGAAGCACGGGAGACGCCGGGCTGGGGATGGCAGGGAGCCCTCCGGTCCTTAACCTGTGGCTCTGGCCACTGCCTCCTGAGCCCCTGCCAGGAGCATGCCCGACCCCGCAGGGCAGCGGACCCTCAAGATTAGCACACGTGTGGGCGTGTGACATCATTTACAGAGGAAAGGGAGCCCCAAGACGTGTGCACAGTGCTCCCTGGCCAGGGGGCGAGACCGGGGGGTCCCCTGCTGCTAAAGCCACACGCCTGCCCCCCCACAGCCTGGCATCCTCACCTGCCACCTGTACCCAAGGGACACCATCAGGGGCTGAGCCATGTCCCCAGCCCCGAGGTGGCACGTTCCGGTCACCCTGCAGGAGCCTGTCCTGGGCTGAGCCGTGTGCCCCCCAGCAGATCCCTGGCTGCAGCCCTGGGGCGTAGGAAGGGTTCCGAGCAGAAACACCAGACGTGAGAACCAGGCCCATGTCGACCACGCGGCATTTGGCCACCATGCCGTCACCCCCACCCACGCGTGGGAAGGCCGAGTCCCCTCTGGTGTGCGTGTGCCCCTTGCCCCTGGGCAGCTCTTGGTGCTCTGTGTGCACAGCGCATGGGCTCAGAATTTGCCTCCCTGAAATAGGCCACTTTGCCATCAGGATTATTCTGAGCTGAAGGCGACTGAGAAACCACAGCGACCCGGGAGCTCCGAGCTGTCCCCTCTGCCTGAAACCAGGTGGTAATTCCCGGCTCCGTCCCCGGCCCTGGCTCCAGCCCCGACATTTGCAGTAGAGAAGTGACGCTTCCCTCCCGGACATTCCCCCCAACGTCTACCTTCTCACAAGTCACTGTCCTGACGCCCCGGCCCCCTTCCTCCGCGGTGTCACCCAGGGTCCCCACAGGGGTGTCCCCGCTCGCTGAGAAGGCGGGCAAGCCGGGGTGGCCTCCGTGAATCCTCCTCCCCTGCGAGGCCTCGCACGGAGCTGACCTTTTCTCCTGTGCGTCTTTGGTCATTTTGTTTATTTCTTTGTTAGTTTTCAAAATAAGCCTGATGCGCAACGTGGGGCCCAAACTCGCAAGCCCGAGATCACGCGCTGCACGTTCCACCCACGGAACCAGCCACAGCCTCCTGGTTTTTGTCGTTTTCATTTGCAGGTGGCGTCCCCAAGCCTGGGAGCGCACAATCTCCCTGTCTACTCCGCGGCCAGGGCACCGAGAGCCGGTAGCGCTGAGCACCCGTCCTCTCCCGATCCGTAAGGGGGTCCTTGAGAGGCTCTCCGAGCACCCCTGCACCCATCTTCCCTCGTGGTGTGTCCCAGGGCTCAGCTCGCTCTCAGGCTCAGCGGTGTTCCTGCAGGAGAGCGTGTGGGACCCCACAGCTCCTGGGGGCACTGACGTTCATGCAGCAGGTGTCCAGGGGCAGGGCTGGGCTGCGCCCCCAACCCCACAGGAACAAATCCTCGAGGTGCACCCGGGGCCACATGCCTCCGTGTCTGGAATGCAGGCGGACCGGGAATTGTGTAAGCGAGTCCTCAGCACTGCTGGTGTGCGCGGACCTCCCCTGGGCTGTGCTCGGCCCCAGGAGGCCACCGCCCGAGTCCTTGATAGGAGAACGGGGGCGGGGCCGCGACTGGGGTCCCCAAGGGGCGGGGCCTTCACGCCCCTCGCAGCCGAGGCCAGCCCAGGCCCAGTCCTCCGCGGAGGGCCAGACGGGAGCGACAGCACAGTCCGCGGCGGGACACCAGTGCCTGCGTAAAGGGGATAGCAAACGTCCACCGGCGGAGGCCCCTCTGTGGTCCCCTGGGGGAGGTCCCGGAGCCCCCGCGCCCTCCCTCCGCGCCCCTGGAAGAGGTCCCGATGCCCCGCGCTCTCCCTCCGCGCCCCTGGGAGAGGTCCCGATGCCCCCGCGCCCTCCCTCCGCGCCCCTGGGAGAGGTCCCGATGCCCCCGCGCCCTCCCTCCGCGCCCCTGGGAGAGGTCCCGATGCCCCCGCGCCCTCCCTCCGCGCGCCTGGAAGAGGTCCCCGGTGCCCCCGCGCCCTCCGTGGTCCCCTGGGGGAGGTTCCGGTGTCCCCGCGCCCTCCCTCCGCCGCCCTGGGAGAGGTCCCGGTGCACCTGTAGCCCCAGGCAGGCCCACCGGCAGGTCCATACTCAGCCGTCACCCCCGCCCCCCCGCGGGAGCCAGGCAGGGCTTAGGGAGCCCTGGAGCGTGTGTGTGGACGGGGATTGCACAAAACTGGAGTGCATGCGGGCTTGCAGGCGCCCAAGCCCAGGCAGGTGACACAGCCGAGCCTCCCACCTGTGAGCCTGCAGGGACGCTGCCCGTCCCCACGTGGCACATCTGTGGGCGGTGACTGGCACCCCGTGACGCTCAGGAAATAGCTCGTAGGTGAACTAAGCGACTTGCCAGCCACCGGCATTCCGTCCTCACCGGGCTCCCCAGCGCTCCCTGCCCGCCCAGACGCGGTGCCCCACCACCTGAGGACCAGACCGGCGGTGGCAACCCCGGGCGCCAACATCCCTTCACCTGCCAGGCAGCAGGGTCGGTGTCCAGGGCACCTGCCACCATCAGGACCCTGTAGCCACAGCCTGGGCGTCCGGCTCAGCTCTGACCCCAGCACCCTGCCACCCTCCCCGCGAGTCTGCAGGGGACACTCTGGTGGCCCTTCCCGCTGCACCTCCCGCGGGTCGGAGGAGTGGCCCCAGTGCCCACACCCCAGGCTGGGACCCCCTCAGCCTGCTGTCCCCATGGCCCCCCACCGGCCAGCCCAGAGGCACTCACCACAGTCTCTCCCAACAGAGTTTCTGGCAGAGATTCCCTCCTCTTGCCACTGCCGCTCAAGCACTTCCTAAAACTGCTCTCTGCCAGGCCATTGGTCGCCGGGAGCACCACCCCGAGGGGAGGAGGAGCTGCCTCCTAGAGCTCCTCTCTCCGCCCCCTGGACAGGGCAGCAGCCTGCAACCCCCAGGCCCAGAGCAGGAGCCCCCCCCCCCGGGCCGGCGCTGGCCCACGGCCAAGGTCCTCACAGCCCCAGGCTGCAGGGACCATGTCTAACGGGGCTGGAGGACGTCCTGAGTATGACCGTGGGGTCAGGGGTCAGAGGACAGGGAGAGGAGGGCACCCTGAGTGCAACCACCGTGGTCAGTGGTCAGGGAACAGGAGGGTGTCCTCACGGTGTCCTGAGTGTGACCGCGGGGTCAGTGGAGAGGACGTGGGGACAGGAGGACGTCCTGAGCGTGAGCACGGGGCCAGCAGCCGTGGGACGGGGCGGGGGCGGGAGGACGAGCCCTGGCTGCGTTCTGCTGCTGTCACTCTGGAGCCCGGGGCCACAGCAAACAGGACTTTCATCAGAGCTCCGCTGGCCTCACAGCCTCAGCGCCCAGTGCCTGTAACCTCTGAGCCCCTGGTCGGCAAAGTGACCGTGTCCTCCACTGAAGTGTCCGGCCCTCTAGCCTGAGTGGCCCTTGTCCCGGGCCTGACCAGGGCATGTGGCCTCCTGGAGGAGGCAGATTCCCCAGGGCACACCTGGAGCCAGCCCCCTGCCCTGATGCTGACCTCAGGTGACTGGGAGCCCAGCAGGTGGGACCCGGGTCTCCCCCCAACCCTGCCCCGGCTGCCCGCCCACCCCACCCCTGTTCATGGCACACTCAGCAAATGTGCCTCGTGCAGGTGTGTGCATGCCTGCCAGAGACCCACAGGGACCCAGCAGGGACACAGGACACAGGTGCAGGGTGGCTCAGAGGGCCGGCCCAGGGCGGGGTGGGACCTTGGCCCGTGGCCTTGCTCTGTCCTGGTCCTGGTACCCTCACCCTGGAGTCCTTGATGGCTGCAGGCGCCGTGGGGTCTCATGGGGACACGGCTCAGAGGTCATCATAGCCCAGTGGCTTCTCCTCCCTCGCCTCCCCTTTCCTCCCCCCCTCCCTCCCCCTTCCCCCCTCCTCCCTGTCCCTTCCTCTCTCAGTGGAGACCCAGCTCCCTGCCTGAAGCACCCTCCCCGGTCCCCTGACCTCTTAGCAGCCCAGGGCCCCACATGGAGCCTGTGAGCTGGGGCGGTGAGTTCTGGGGTTTGACAGTCAGCAGCTCTGGGCTCCCCGCCCCTGCAGAACAGACCCTCCCCCCCATCTGGGGGAACTTCCTGAGTCCCAGCCTTGTCCCAGGCAGCAGGACAGGGACTGTACCTCAGCCATCCCCAGAAGCTGCTGAGCCCAAGCAGGACATGGCCCTGAATGACCCAAGTGGTCGGGCTGTCCCGGGGCGGACTTGGGGACATGGGGAGGACGCCCCAGACAAGGACGCCCAGCCTCCTGGCTTTGCAGACAAAACAAGGGCCAGGACCCAAGGGATGCGGGGCTCTGGGAGCTGGGCAGGCTAGGGAACCCGCAGGGGCGGCCCTGCCCACACCTCAGTGAGCCCAGAGACCCACGGCAAACCTGACGCTGCACCCGGGGTCCTCCCCCCACTGAGGTGACCCTGCACCTGGTCCCCTCCCCCACCCACTGAGGCTGACCCTGCACCTGGGTCCCCACCCCCACCCACTGAGGCTGACCTACACCCCGGCCCCTCCCCCTCTGAGCTATGGGCACCTCCAGTTTCCTCCTGGATGTTGGGCACCTCATTCCTTTAGTCCCAGCGCTTTGTCAGTCCCCGAAGCCCCACCCACAATGAGTGTGTGGACAGGACCTGCGGCGCACCCTATAGGCAGTGGGGTCGTCTTCCCTGCACGGGTTGCTTGTGAGGGGCCAGCACTGTTGCTCAAAGAGCCTTCCTTTGTGGAGGACGATGGCCACCTCTTCCCAAGGACACCCCCAATCTCAGCACTGTGCTGTCACATTGGGGGCAAAGTATTAACATCAAGGCAGCTGAGTCTGTGGTGTGACCCCACTGCATGACGTCACCCCAGCCCTGTGACCTCCACTCTGTGACATCACCTCCACCCTGTGACATCACCCCCACCCCATGGCCCCACCCTGGACATCATTCCTACCCCATGATCCCATTCTGTGACATCACCCCTACCCTGTGAGCCTGGCCCCAGGAATGTGACCCCCACCCTGTGACATCACCCCACCCTGTGACATCACCCCTACCCTGTGAACCTGGCCCCTAGTACAGTGACCCCCACCCAGTGACCTCCACCCTCTGACATCACCCACCGTGTGACCCACACCGTGTGACATAACCTGACCCTGTGACCCCCACCCCATGATATCACCCCTACCCTGTGAGCCTGGCCCCCAGCACTGTGACCCCCACCCAGTGACATCACCTGACTCTGTGACCCCCACCCCATGACATCACCCCTACCCTGTGAGCCTGGCCCCAGGGATGTGACCCCCACCCAGCGACCCTCATCCCGTGACATCACCCCCACCCAGTGACCCCCACCCCGTGACATCACCCCACCCAGTGACGCCCACCCTGTGGCACATCACCCCACCCTGTGACCCCCACCCCGTTTTCTCTGGGCCCTGTGCTGGGAACAGGATGTACCTGGGGGTGAAGAGGTCTCAGGGTTGAAACTCTTCCCGGGGAAACACGACTCGTGTCCGGCACCAGGTCAGCAGGATTTTCTCTCCTTGGGTCGTTTTCCTGATTCTCACGGTTTCCAACAGGGACACAAACAAACACAAAAACCAAGGTTCTAAACACCTTTTACAGGTTTTCCATCAAATATTGTTTCTGTACCAATTCTTCAGGTAACAACTTATCCTTGAATTTCTGCGCGGGGGACCTACAGGCGGGGTCCTGGGGATCCTGGGAATCGCTGAGGGTCCACCCGGATGCAGGGACCTCCTTCCTCCTGTGGCCACCGCTCCGGACTCTCCAGTCAGATGCTGTCCCCTGTCCTCCCCACTGCTCTCCGGAGTTGTTGCCCTGTGTCCTCTCTGCTCCCTGAGGTCTCTCCC